ACACATATTTACTGTGGGGCCCATGCCCTCCCCAACGTTTACTGCGCTAATGTACACTTTATATTTAGGATATTTGTATTGTAGGATAGGATATCGATATCGTAATCGAGTGTGCGTGATAATTACTGAAAACGGGGCGATTTTCGGTAACAGGTCGTACGCGTGTCGCGGTGCGTGGCGAGAAATCGATTGTTTCGTAACCGCGCCCGTTGGATTTATCGCGTTTTACGCGTGCCCGAATTTGTTTTGTAATTTCGTCGTCGTTTTCTTTCTTGTTCTGCACCGCGACGATCGGTTCGGATTACGTATTACTATATAATCCCGTGCCGAGTGTATTATATTGTCGACGCTGTGCGAAAACGCGACGAGAATATATGTTTGGATGACGGGTGTGGGAGGGGGTGAGGAGAGGGGCGGAGAGAGGGTGGAAAACAAAAATAATAAATAAATAAAAAAAAAAAAAAAAAAAAAAAAAAAAAAACGACCAGAAACCGAAAATTATTCGGTTTTCGTATTGCGGTCGCGTACGCGATTGTGGGAGTACTTCCGACCGCGAAGACCCCGCGCGCGCCGTCAATCCACCGTGTCAATATACGCGCGGTGGCGCCGCCGACGAATCGGCCGAGTAGGAAATAAAAAGCGTAGGCACGCACGCACAAAAGTGTAAAACGTATTTTTCAAAATATAGTAATAACAATAATGTGTACGAGACGAAATGCGTAAAAGTCCCGAGGGAACGAACGTTTTTTTTGCGACTGCTCGGTCGCCCTTCGCCGTGACATTTCGCCTTGAATATCGCGCCACTTTCCGATCGGCTCGGGAATATTATTACCCGTTTTATTGACCTTTCATCGAAACCGGAAAAGAGCCCGTTAAAAGGCGACCGAGCGTGTTGACACTGCCGCCGCCGGTGAAGAGGCGAAGGAGAAGAATGGCGAGGCGGGAGCGGAGGATGTAAGAGTATCGTTCGGAATTTTTTTTTTTCACTGTCGAAACGGCCCTGACGAATTCAATCGAGACGATCGCTGGTGAAACCGATAAAATATTATAATAACGGACCGGCTCATAATAACTTGGAGACTCCAGGCTGAAGTTTGCAAAACGTACACGAACCCACATAGTAAACGAAATCAATAGCATAAATATATTCCCATTGGTCAGTCTCAAAAGCGCGCTACCTTCGGTAAATGCAAAAAGTCTACATGCACAAAACATACGTTCACTCGCGGGCATCACGTACGTTTCCCGGCCAGGTTTTCGAATATTTCAAATTGTAGGCGAAATAAGTCTTCCGTGGACCGTAAACAATGTCGCGATCAGAGAAACCTTCGAAATCCCAGACTAAATAAAGACAACGCCGACGAAATATAAATTAGACAAAAAAAAAAAAACCTGCCTTAGGATAACGAGAACGGGTACAACTGTAAGAAGTTAGAAGTTAGGTATTGCTAACGAAAAAAACGATTCTGAGTGGAGTTCGATTGAGATTATTGATTTTTCAAAATCATATATACATCATATTATGGTAAAATGCATAATATATTTTGTTTAATATTGTACCTATTTTCCGTTTTTCCTACGTGTTTCCCGGTTTTTCCCATTTATCGGGATAACTTCTGTGAAAATTAAAAAAACGACCTCCTTAAAGTAAGTACCCCCTCAGTCAGATTTCCTTTTAGAAAAAAGTGCTATTATTGAAAATTGGAGTGAAAATGTTAGTAAAGCCGCCCACAGAAAAAAATAATAAACATCATTATAAAACTTGTGCATAATTCCTCATTCCGCTCAGAATCGAATGTGATCGCATCTCACGACACCCACAACAATAATATTGCCAAACGATCCGCTGCACGTCTTTTGACTGTAGTTATACCTATATCATTATGAACAAAAGACCAATATCGAATTCTAATAAAGACAGTAGATACTTGGAAAAAAAGAGTGCGCAAGAGGGTCTGCACTCGTTTTAATAGCGATTTATGTTTAAAAGCCCACACGAAACGGGATATTATAACCCTTTTTGCGCACAAAGTATCCGTTCATCGTTTATTCATGTACGCACATAATACCACTTAATATCACGCAATGAGCCTTTGCACCAAATTACGGCTTAAAAACCTACACCTACAGCTGCACTTTTACGAGAGCTTTTAGCTATATTAACATTGTTGCATCCTTGATAATGATTAAAAATGTGTTTTATTTGAAATTATAAAACAAAAAAAAAAACAAATTCAAAATATTAGTCAGAATGTTTTGCTGTATAGTGTGGGCATTTTTTAAAAAAAATTTTTGTTCCGTTTGTTAACACGATGTCAATCAAAGCCTGCTAAACTCTTTTTATCGAATGTACTAATGATATTGTTTTATTGTAGCCGCGGTGTAATTTACGAATACGGTTTTTGTGTCTTTTTCTGTGCTAATTTTGGTTCTTTTAGTTTTATTCTATGATGTTTTTTTGTGTTTTTACTCTGTAAAAAAACTTTTCTACCAGAAATCTCGCACCACCCGTCAAAATATATTTTTTTCCAAGTTGAATGTTTTATCTAGTTGGTGACCAAAAAAGTTGATGAACAAAACCGAAAAATACGTAGGAAGAACGAAAAAATGTACAAGTATAAGTCTTTTATTATTTTAAATTTTGTTTTTATTCTTTAATATAATTCTGTTTAAAATATTCAAAGAGATTTAAAATTTTGACAGAAACCTTATATTTACTTTTTCTAGCCGCGGTAAGATCTCAAAAATAGCTTGAGACATTTTTGAGCTATTTGTAGACACTTGAGTTTTGCGAGATTTCGCGTAATTTTTATTTAGTAATTACTCTGTGGATAAATTGTTAAAACAGACAAAAATACTTGAAAATTTGACAGAGAGTTCAATATAAGTCGTACAGTGGTCGAAAAACAAAAATCTAACGTAATGTAAATTTCAAATCGTAAATAATAATATAGCTTTTCAAAACATGTATAACCGAACTTCTCTCAGAATCGTTTTTTATTAACAATGGTATATCGTAGGTACCCATCTACAACAGTGGTCGCACCCGGTTTTTAAATACTTGAAAAATATTCGATAATTCGTTAAAAGGTTCCTCGCGAGTTGGTCAAACTGAATTTATAATATTCTTTCGGACCCAAATTAATGTCTACACAAAACTCGAAAAGATGTTATTAAGTTATTTATGACTTTATTTAATTTTTTTTTTTTTTTTTTTTTTATGATTTATGGACAAAAGCTTTTAAACAAATTATCAGGTTGTAGTATTCAAGTACCGCGTAGTGAAAACTGAAAATAATCGTCATCATCATTATTCACGATAAAAGTATAAAGTTAAGTGCTCCTATAGCTGTTGTAAAACCGACCGCGACGGTTTTACACGTTAACGGGTTTTTTATTTTTTTATACAACGATAATTACTATAAAAATGTTTCGAACCGTAAAATTGTTTTCGTTTTTTTGTTTGTATATTTGATCGGCAGCGCCAAGAGCTTTGGCTCATCGAGACCGAAATCGCGTCTATTCGTCTCCATATATTGTAATAGGATAATAACATACAAAAGTCCCCGCTGTTTCTATTGATTCGTACACATAAAACAGCAACCACGAGTGGTGGATATAGGGGTTTTTTTTTTACTTGCGGGGGCAAAATTTTTCGTATTAATTTTGAACAATGAACACTAAATATAAGACGGGCAATACGCGGTTGTACGAGGATCTGTGGAATGTCAACGATCCGAAAACGAACATGTTCAGCCAACCGTTGGCAACGAGAAATTGCCTACCGTTTTAAATCGTAAATGTTAAAATATTATTGTTTATAAGATAACGACGCGAGCGTTTAAATATTAATATTCCACTTGAGACGACTACACTTCGTTGGCTGTTGAGTGGGAATAAATCACATACAGTGGAGTTCAAAATAGAGGTTTAACAAACGTTAATGTAGACTGAAAAAATTGAATTAATATTTGTTTAAAATTAAGTTTTAAATTTCAACGATAACTTCCAAACTCCCGAGTACAAATCGTTTGTTCAAAATCAAAAATCATTGATCATATCATAATACAAGTATGTGATAATATAATCAAAAAGCATAGATCAGAACAAGACGAACCTGCTACACGCAGATTATAATTAAACCGTGTGTGTACCCAAACATTAATAAAAATCTATTGTCGTACAATGTTGGATAAACTTACGTCACGCAACATGTTTTTGACGCTACTACTCTTCGTGTTCGGTTCTTATCATTTTCCGGACAACTGCCCCGGACCCATATGGAACACAGATAAGATTACAATCAAGTATTAACATTACCCACTATGTCGTAATAATATTGGTGCAACCGCAATTTGAACGACGATTCATAATCATTATTAACTCATATTATTACAACTACAAATATCACTTTCAAGAGGGGTGGGGGCGGCCATCTCGCACCCTCCCCTTGAATCCGCCACTGGCAACCGCATAGCACGAAGAACATGACAAGTATTTTGAAAAAAGTCATTTTAGGGGCATCGATTTTATTGTTTTATATCGTAAATCGTTCAATCGAATACTGATATTTCTTTAATAATTTTTGGACACCGGCCACGACCGCGTAATTCGTACAGATAATTCAAATCATCAAACAAACTAATGTTCCTATTCCGTCGCAAATATCCACCAGAAGTCTAGCGTGTTAAAAAATTATCGAAAGTTATACATTTATAAACTGTCGGTGAACATACCTAACCTCTCTCCGCGTCTCCCGATCCCCTAAAAATTACACTTTTTCGATAAATAACAATTTTATTTGAGTGCATCGAATCCACACTATTGTACGCCCGTATATTGTGCATAAAACTGCATGCACATAGACCGCAAAATACAAATACAAGCATTCCAAATTATTTATTATCGCGTTCGGTTAGGACGGGAAGTTTCCACCGGAAATAACGCCGGACTCGACGACAGCGTCCGGTATTTTTTTCCGGTAAATTTCAATAACAATTTTTTTTTTTATTTATTTATTTATTTTTTTTTTATTTCTCTATTACAATAAAATATAATAAATTGTCGTACATTAATATTATTTTTATTAATTAATTGTAATATTTTTTACATGCAATTTTTTACTATAAAACAATATATGTTCTTATACGATTAGTTAAACGACGGGCGATTATTGTTAATGAAACGTACCTATAGACGACAAAAAAAAAAAAAAATCAATCAATATATAGAATAATAATTTATATTATATTATCGACAACAATTTGCGTAAAAATCATGATTATTATTATTGTTATCGTTGGTATTAATAAAATGAAATCGATACACGCTGACGTTTCAACGTTGTCATCGCGAATTTCCCTATGCGTTATTATCAACACGTAAATTCAGAATAATTATAATATGATCGCCGGGGCTCGGAAGACTTGATGACCCGATAAACAGTTCACAAAAAAAAAAAAAAAAAATATATTAATAAATGCGTAAAAATGTTTATATTCCCGCCGAAATATATTCAGAAAATTAGTATTGACTATAGATATAATATTTACTGTGCATATCTTAAATAGGCAGTAGCGGACTTACGAGGGGGCATCCAGGAGGTCCAGGGGTTTTGGATCCCTCTCCCCACTCCCCAGTCACTGACATGATTTCAATAAAATGTCGCCCGAAAAAGAGGTGTCTTAAGATAACTTTTAAATACACATGATTTTTCAGGATCCCTATCGGAAAAATATTGAAAATCCGCTACTGTAAACAGGTACCCTACAGTGGCGGGGATTTAGGAGATTAAAGACAGGATAAATAACGAACAAGACAAATATTCGATGCGGAAGGCATTCAATTTGAACACGCGTGTTTCGAGTACCGGATTGTCAAGAATGTAATTCAACGGAAATGTCAATAAATTCCCAAGTATAAAAATCGTATACCGAATAATATTAGAAGAATTACCGTATGGCACATTATTCCCTGAAAAAATACGAAATTGAAAATTATTGTGTACCGTTAAAGATTCAATGAAACAAATGTATACAGAGAAAAAAAATTGCAAACGCATCAAGTTCCGGGCCCTGAATTATAATTACTGTTTGATTAAACGGCGTTGGGAAATATTTTACACGTACAATTGGCACTTATATAAACGAAGAAAGAAAATAATAATAAAAAAACGGACGCAGATTCAGTTTCCGAACACGATCAATTTGACGTGCAAAATCGGAAGGTTACGACGTTCGGTCAGGTTTTGATTTTCGTCGGCGGTGCGCTGTCCGTCGATGGCCAAATGATATTTGCCCGGTTTTTTGGGATTGTGTCGGAAGTGCAAGCCCCAAATACCTTTCGAGTTCCGTTTTATCTTGAACTTGTTGATCGCGTCGGCGGACGGCACCACGAAATACGTGTAATTGTCCTGAAAACGAAAAAAAAAAAAACAAAAATGAAATGAAATCCAACGATTTTAAGTGCCAATGGAATGTTATAAAAACAAAACGCGTCCGGTAGGAAAAAATAATTTCGCCGTGACTTTACAATAGTCGGTTTTGCACAATGCGTTCGGTACAGCGAAAATCGCGGTAAACCGGTAAAATTGCTGAATAACAACAATACGATACCGTGCGCAAACGTTTAAACGGTAGCGATACGTATGCGGAAAAACCTTTTCGGACGGACGACACCGAGCGTACGTTTCTCACCTTGACGGCCGGCAACAATTTCAAAATTCGAGTGTTCCGTCGGACGTCGGACATTTTCATTCTGATGGTCTTGTGTACTCCGTCGTCCCGGTGATGTCTGCGCTTGTGTTTCGCCTGCTCACGCGGGGAAAAAAAAAAAAAAAATCACAAACGATCAGTGAAATACGAGCGGGCAAATTAGGTAGAGGTGTTAATGGGCCAGGCGCCGGATCGGCGGCGTGAAAACTCTCATGTCTCGCGAAACGGTCCGATTTCAATGATTTATTTTTATTGAACGCTGAAAGGAAACCGATGCGCCGCGATAAATATTGAAAATCTAAGTGAATTTCAACGGTTTTGTCTCAAAATAATAGTAAAGTAAATAATACTTCATACCTATTGCCGCAAAAAAATTTTCGTAGGATATCGTGTAGCAGGTTAGCGGAAAAATTTGATCTACAAGGTTGTCGTAACATTTATGAAAACAATTATTACATTTTACGAAAATCTGAAAACCCGTTACAAGGCTATTTACACGAAGGGGTGTAAGACCACCCGGAATTCGGCTGTAAGAACTGTTTTTCCGAAAAATCGAATAGTTTTGAGTTTTTGACTTTTTCCGCTTGAGTTACATTTTCCGTTATAGGGATATCGAAAAAATAAAAACCCCGCGACGCATGGCCTTGTTTGTTTTATGTCGAAAATTCGGTTTCTGAACTGAATCCGCAAACAGTACTAAAAACGTTACGTTAATTTCACTAATAATACACAATGATAACATTCACTCGGGGGATAATGGCACGGGGCTACTCGTAAAATGCATTTTAAAGTGAATTTGAATATTTTTGAGAAAAACGCCGTGAACCCTCGGACACGTCATACTCGAGCTCGTATTTTCAATGTTATTAATCGGCTGAACGGCGATCAACATTTTCACCGTGTAACGCAGTGCGTATTATTTTACTACGACAGCTATTAAAAGGACTACTGGCTTTCGACGGTCGGACATTCCGCCGCCATCCGTTAGCGTCGAGAGCTACGCACGAACTCGGGCGCTTACCGTTTGGCGGCCTTTCGGATCGTCTTGCCGACCGTCGCGGGCCGTGGCACCGTCGTTCGTCGGTTCCGCGATTTCCGAGGTCACGTTCGTGGTACGCCTGTGCCGCAGTCTTCCGTCGCCGTTGATCTGCAACGCGATGGTATTATCAATAAAAATTAAAAAAAAACCGTTACAATCCTCGAAGCGAACGGGGGAGTCGTATGATGAACACGCACCTTGCACGAGAAACAACCTTCGGTCGATATGATTTTGCCGCCCGAGCTCTTTGGGTACAGTTCCGGTTCGATGGGAAACGTCGGAATGCCGCCCAGGTCCGGCAGACCCATGTTCGATCCGCTGGTCAGCGGACTTATGGTTGACAAACAATGGCCCTGATAATAATAACGCGAAAATGTATTTGTTATCAAAACCACGGACGGGGACGTCCGGTATATACGGGGAAACCGTCGGAGTGTGCGACTCGAGTGAAATTGACTAGGGATGATGAAAAAAGTGAAATCTGTTTTGCATTCATATACCAGCGACGAGTTCTGAAAGAAACAGTGGGGGCGCGCTGTGTCTGCTGTCCGGCCGGTTGTAGAGCGAACGCTACTCACCAGCTACCGCGGATGGTGACCGCGGACGATGGATCTTAAGAGAAATTTTCGGCGTGCAAGTTTCGTGAAAAATATCAAAACCCAATACGGACTGTGTGTGCGCAGCAGCGCGGGTTACTCGTAAAAAAAAAAAAAAAATGTCATTCTCCTTCGGAGTCATACGCGAAAACACGCCGAAATGTCGCGGTCGACGCGGAATCCACTATGCGGACGAGGAAATCGGTTAAAAATCGATTTCCGTAGCATTGACTGTCGTCACGGAACGCGTGGAAAGTGTACGAAATCGAGAGTACCGGAATTTCCGAACCGTTCAATAGGTACCTATACTTTTTTTAACGGAAGTTCCCCGGCCGAGTTGGCATTTTCGTCCGGTCGTAAAAGCCGGTCCGGCTCTCTCTCCGTCAGTCCCGGGACGGGTGTTTTATGTTATTATTTTCAATACCTGTCCGATTCGCTGGTAGCCCATTGGACACTCGCAGGAGAATCCGCTCTGTCCGATCGAAGTGCAACCGAAAGCGCACGGGCTCGCGTAACAACCTCCGCCGCTCTGGTGTAAAAAAAAAAAAAAAAAAATCGATGAAACAATATTCAATTATGAATTATGGTCAAGTCGGGTGAAAATGTACACGGTCGACCGTGTTTTCGGGTGATAGTGGACGGAAAAGTATTCTGCGCAGAGCATCGTTTTTCAATGCATAGATACATTGATTTGTGTTTTTTTTTTTTTTTGTTTCCGCTGTCACACCTACAACCTGCACTTGATTGTTCTTTTCTTCAACAAATTCCAAATAATTGATCGAGATAAATGGCCCCGAATCGTTATCAGTACCCGTACCGGATAAAAAATGTTACGATTCGGAATTCTCGAGAGATTTTGGTTTCAATACGATTTATAAGAATCGGTGAGTGACGGTCAGATGATTTTTGTTATGGTGGTGGGGGGGGGGGGTTAGGGAGACGAGGTTAATTTTTTTTAACAAATTATTATTTGTGTAAACAAAACATATTATTGTACACGTTTGAGAAGAGATATTTTTCCCTTCGACCCCCGTGTTTGACAGCCTTTTGGTAACGAGGAATGTATTGGTTTTATACAGTTATGTGCGGTGTTATTTTTTTGTCCGCCTATCAATCACTTTTCTACCGGAAATCTTGCTTCGGTCATCAATTTCAGGGATAGTTTCTGGTAACGGATTTCGCCTAGTCGGTGCATTGAAATAGTAAATTTTTAATTTTTCCTCGTAGTTTTCTTAACAATTAGCGAAATGGGGAAATGGCATCTACGGTTTCGGTTATTTCGGATTTTGTATTGTAATTCCGTTGGAAATACCCGTAGTAAATAGTTTTGGAGTTGTTTAAGTTTTTTTTTATTAGATTGCTCGAAAATGCGCGAAAATTTCGAGGTGCACACCAGGTATTCATAGAGTTGATCTTGCGTAGGCTGCCGCAGAGAGATCGAAAAATCGTTGGGTTTTTTTTTTTCTTTCTTTCGTTAAACGTCGTTAACGCGGTTCCGTATTTCCGCGGAAATCGTATTTCCGACAGGTTTTTGTTTGGCCCGGCGATAACGTTCGGAAATTCTACACGAGTCCTATGCAAGTCGTAAATCTAATAGCCGGGGGTGGGGGGGGGGGAAACACGCACCAACTGTTTGCCGCCGCAATTCTGGGTGCCGGTGTCGTAGATCTGTCCGTTGGAACACACGCACTGATAACCGCCGGGCATGTTGATGCAGTTCATGTTCGGTTGGCACGGCGAGTCCAAACATTCGTTGACGTCCACGCACTCGCGTCCGAACTTCCGGTAACCCTTGGGACACCCGCAACCGTTGCCGCCGGCACCGGAGTTTGTACCGTTGTGTGAATTCTAATAATACATTTTCAAAAAAAAAAAAAAAAACCCGTTAAAAAACCATCGGAATAACTATAAAAAAAAATATATATACTCCGACCGCGGACTTTAGGATCCCCCCCCCTCCCTACGCAGCTTATTCGCGCGACACGGCGCGTATATCCGGTTCCGAAAGACACAAAACACAATACGGTTACAATCCGCGCGATCCGCATTTCGTCAACGAATTAGCTACGGGGTCGAAAACAACAAATTCGATTTAGAAATAAATTTGGAAATTGCGATTTTGTTATTGCTGCTGTTATTTCCCCCCCCCCCCCCCGCGTCAATAACCGAAATTGTTCTTTTCCGTTCGCGAAAATAACACGGCCGAAATTGGATTTCACGCGTCGACAACGCCGCGATCGCCTCTTGCTCTTGGGCACCGGTATTTCGCGGAACGCCCGTTAATAACCACACTCGTCCGGTGAACAGGTGTAACGGCGAAATCGCCAATATTGCCGCTGTCGCGACAACAGTGACAACACGATAGTGGTCCCGCGCAGAGATTACCCGTTGCAACGTCTACCGGTGATCGTGAAGACAATCGGATTGTGATTTTTGTTGGTTTTTTTTTTTTTTTTTGTACATTACTCGCAGGGATAAGAATTACAAGCGAATAAATACTTACGTTAGAATTGAACTGTTATGTTTTGGCGCGAAACAACTAAAAAGTGCACTTTTCAAGATAAGAAAAATTCGAAAATTTCAAGCATTGGCTGTTTTTCATTAAATTCGTGATTATAAAGTTCAAAGTAAAAAATAGCGCGCAGTCAATTATTAGTCGTTATAATAATAACAATGATAACAATCAATCAGCGAATATGATTACAGTCCACCGCATAGCATACTGGTATTTTTCCTTTTTTAACTGTAAAAAAATGTTTTATTAAAAATCACGAACTTAATTGAAATAAATAATCAATACTTCAAACTGTTCGGATAACGTCTTTTGATGTGCGGTTTGGTCGAAACGTAAAAAAAAAAAAACCCATAAAAATGCACTCTTTCGTTATTATGTTCGGAACTTACCCGACGATCATGACATCCGATGTTGTTGTTATTGTTGTTGTTGTGGTGGTTGTTGTTGTTGTTGTTGCTGTTGTTGTTGTTGTTGTTTTTATTATAGTTATCGCAGTCCGGTCCGAAGCAATCGTTCGGCTGGTGTTTTGCTTTGAGATCCACGCAACGTGTGCCGGTGTCGTCGAGTTTGTAATGTTTCGGGCATAAACACCGATAACTTCCCAACGTGTTGACGCAATTGCCCGGAGCGGGGCACAATTTCGGTTCTTGACGGCATTCGTCGATATCTACGAACATGCATACAAACAGTTGGGTTATTTCGGCGGAGCGATGTAATTATTTTGTAGTAGGCGTATTTGGACGAACGGTAAAGAAGAGAGAAGAAAACTAGACGTTTTTGAAATGCGGTTCGCAAATGCTTAAGATTATACGGACAGAAAGAATAACAAACGGGGAATCAATAAACAGAACAAAGGCAATTGGATACATTTCGTGAGCCAGGAGGGGTAAAATGATGGGGCATCTACCGCGTCACAATAGCTTAACGAAATCACAGAAGGCGACGTAGCAAGACGTATCCGAAGAGAAAGACTACAGATAGAGTACACGATAAAAATCGTGATAGACGTAATTAATGATTGTTACAATTATTACTTTAAAATCATATAAATGAGTTACAACAGGGAAGCATTAAAAACGGCAATAAACCAATGGTTATTAGTTATTTTTCTTTTCGACAAATTTCAATACCATTTTTCAATTGAACTCCTAATTTATAACACTAACGTTTCCCGATTGACTTATAATATTTAATGTTATTCACATAGTAAACTCGAGTAGATAACAAATAATTATGTTCAAAACGTATTAAAATTCATTCGTTTACGTTCCGCGAGCGCTATCTATCGGACGGTTATAACAACTGCTATACGCTTTCCTCGACGAATAAAATACCGTTAGACTACAGCACGTTATGCAATATTAAAATATTATTTCGTGTTGTAAATGAAATTATACCCCCGAAGGTTAAGTCTTGCTCGGGTGCAGTTTTACGAGCTAGTCGAAAACACACGCTAATTTATTGACTTCTATTGAAAAATTACCCAATATTTACGTATAAATTGTATTAAAAATAAAATAGTAAATACCTAACCTATAGATCAATTGGATATTCTGGGGTGGGGTGGTGGGGGGTGGGGGTTAAGGATATTATGTTCCTCCCAAAATGTTAGAAAACTTTTAACCATCAAATAATTATGTAATATATTACAATGTGCTATAATAAACCACAATATGTAATGTGTAAATAATCCGCTAAAAAAATAAAATAAAAAAGGAATTCCTGAATGCGATATTGCGATAGACAGTAAGAGAGAACAACTTTATTAGAATTACCGAGAGTTAAATTGTAATTTATAACTAATGAAATAATACAAATAAACTCAATAAACTTACGGTAAATATTAGGTGAAATATCTTCTTCGGCGGAAATTAAAATCAAACTATACAATTTGCTATAAGAGCACCGTGATACGAATATTTATTTACAGCCAGACATAAAAAAATAGTAAAAATAGCAAAAAAAAAAAAAAAAACGAAAAGACCTTCTTCTTTCTGTTTCAATGACGCGGATACCATATTATAATAAAAAGCCAACCGACAACGATGTCATCACCGTAGAGACGAATTATCTGAACGTTGGCGACGGGTACACAATGTGACGCGTTTGAATCGTTCTCTACTACTCCCCTACCACTAACAAAACGTTAATGGGTTAGCGACGGGAATTAAACGCATTGAAACCCAAAATGTATCTAATCTAAAACTTCATACATCCGTGTAATTTTCAATAACATCAGCGTAACATTTTATAGAGCTGTTCGCCCATTGAATTGTTCGAAAACGGTGAAAACAAATTACGAAAAAATTCAATAATTTCCGAATTGTGTTCTGCTGATCTCCGCGTGCGTATCGGAAACCAAATGTTATCTAATATATACTCGTATTGTCAATACTCTAACTCCCACCTCCCGAAAAAAAAAAAAAAATACGTGTATATGTAATAAATAGGCGAAAATTTCCGCCTATATTATCAAAATAGTACGAGACTAAACGTTTTCCGGGTAATTTAACAGTTTTAACATTGAAACAATTGTCCAGAATTCTGTCGTGCGGACCTCCTTCTCGTCGACTTTTTGACAGGGATGTGAATACCGATTACGCCGTGAAATCGATAGGGCGGGGTGGAATACGATTCGCGATTGTCGACTACATCAATCCTTCTGTATACATAGTATTTAAACGTTTAACGATTTTGTTTGTTTGTTTTTTTTTTTTTTTTTATTTTACTCCATCTTAATATTACCGTTGTCAACGAGACGTTTAAACCTTACACGCGCGCGGGTTTCGGTGCGAACAGGAAAATGCATAATATCGCTGTTGCCGGTACAATTATGATTCGTATTATTGTAGGTACCTAAACAGTGGTCGCCGACCTGTCGGTAACCCGATTGACATCCGCACTTGTACGACCCTAGAGTGTTGATGCACAGCTGCTGGCAGACGTGCTGGCCGGTAGAACATTCGTCCAGGTCTCGGCAAGTGGCGTTGTCGGGATTCAACAGGTATCCGGCGGAACAGCCGCACGCGTAACCACCTTCCAGATTCTGACACGACATCTCGCAAGGCGGCGGCACGGCCAGGCACTCGTTAATGTCTGTAAGAAGATTTGCGGTCGGGTGAGTACAAAAATCATGAATTAAAATTTGACCAAAATCCACTGCCGCCAATTTTATATTCCATTGTAGATATTCTTTGTAGGACCTACTGTTCCCGAAAAATCGTGCAATTTCAGCATTAAAATGCTTGAGGTTGAGAGTTTAAATCCCCCCCGAAAGTCATCTTGCTGTTACTAATGCCCCGCACACGCGAAATTACGAACCCCTGGCTTCATTTTAGGAGTATTTAGGAGTTTATAAAACTAAAAAAAAAAAAAAAAAAAACATATTTCCAATTCCCGTCTATGAGCTCATATGATCCAGCTTTTCGAGGACAATTTTGCGATGATTCGTAGTAATATCACTAAGTACACTCAGAGTACAAAGCCTTCGAGGGACCGCGGTTTTCTGAATATGATAAGAACCGTGTAAAACACAATTATCGGAAATATATATATTCACGCCGGTGCAATTTTTTTTTTTTGGCGAATATCCACTGCGTGTCCACTCTTTCCTCCCTTAAAAACGCTCCACGGGCAGATAGACCACACCTTCCCTGGACTCCTTCCGGTTACCACTCCCCCCTCCAATAAGAGTACAACAGACTTAGCTGCATAAACAGCCCGTTCGGACCCAGAGAACTTACTTAAAAAACACTCCAACTCTGCACTCACCGTTACAATGGGTTCCAGTGTGATCCACTCGGTACGCTTTGTTGCAACTGCACCTGTATGATCCCAACGTGTTTATGCACCGCCCGTTGGCGCACAAGTCCGGCAACGTTTCGCATTCGTTTATGTCTGTAAAATTTAGAACAATCGATATTATCGACGATGTTTTTAGTCCTGGGCCGACAGAGGTTATGCAAAAACGCAGTGTATCGCACTCGCCTTGGCCGTCGATCGTGTAACCGGATTCCAGACAGAGCTGTCTGAACGAATCCGAAGACGGAGACGGACACGGTTGACAGTAAGGTCCCCAGGCCGCGGCCATTGAACAACAACAGTCGGCTTTCGTCACGGACTTGTAAGCCACGACGCTCGTGACGTCACCGCCTCCGCTGCTACCGTGATTGATGCACCGGCCGTTCAGCAAATGTCTGTAGCAATATCCGACTCGGGAATCTTGCGGAAAAACAATGAAGAATATTTTTTTTTTTTTTCGTTATCATCGTCGCACAAAACTTCTTGTCATACCGATATCGTAATAAAATTATTAGCAGTGGTTGGAACTAGCGCGCTATTCGTTTATTTTGGTAAGTAGCGTGCAATTATAAAGCTACTAAAACACCATATTTTTCACGGGAAAACGCCGAAAAAAACGCTACTTCATATCAACATAAAATCACGAATTTATATTGTTTTAAATTTCGTTCTACAGTAAAAACAAAACATAGTTTCCGTTTTTCTCGTCGGAAACCGTAAAATCTAAATATTAACTGTTGTCGTGAGCGAAGTTTGCTAGCGCTCTAAACTTTTAACGAGGAGAAGCAACGACTGTAGGAGACAAGTTTTTTGTTTGTTTTTAGAAACGTAGCGGTTGTGATAGCGCACTACACCGAAAGTGGTGATTTCCAACCGCCGTATTTGTTCGATATTAACACGTACCTATGCACTGTTTTCCGTCGTTACTCGGTTTGAAGCCGTCATAGCAGTCGCATTTGTACGAGCCCTGCAGGTTGACGCAAAATCCGTCCTGACACAGATCCGGATTGTCTGCACACTCGTTGATGTCCCGGCACTCATCCGTGCCCGTTTGAACGTACCCTTCGGGACATATGCACGCGAACGAACCGATCAGGTTTTTGCACGCGAATTTACAATTGTTGGCCGGCGTCTGGCACTCGTCGACGTCTGTGTTGGACAAACAAAAATCACTAAACCGTGTCAACAACAACCGATGGTTTACATTGATTGATAATTTTCGTTTCGTCGTTCTCGACCGCGCGACAGAGCATATTTAGGTAGATCAATGTAAAGCGATTTTGCGCAATAACCAGAGAGCTCCGGTTTTCAAGACTTTTCAGGGAGCGCGAAAAAAGGTCCGTTTTAAAAACATCGAGTTCATAATGAAACTGATTTTACAACGTTGATCGAGCGACAAATTACACCGTGAAAAAATAAAAAAAAAAAAACCCGCGCAGTTTTCGAGATGCGAGCCGTTTATAACGGCCAAAACGTTCGGATTCGTATTGTTTTTCGCCCGTACGATTAAACGGATTTATCTCGTTATTTCCGGACGTAAAACACGGGAATATACGTGAATTCCGCCATTAAATAGTACCGTCTGGTAAAGAACTGTCTGGCAACTGCACAGAATCCTAACGATATTGTTGTTGTCACATACCTTGACAGTGTCTACCGTCCGGCGCCAAAGCGTATCCGTACGGACATATACACCTGTACGATCCGGGCACGTTGTGACAACGGAACGCACACTGATTGGACATTTCGAGACATTCGTTGATGTCTTCGCATACCTGGTTGAAATCGAAATCGCGTTAGTCAAACTACACAGATATCATTGGGCATTGGGTTTTCGGTTTGAAATATTATCTCATACTTGGGTCGGCCCCGGAGCGAATCCGTCCGCGCAGATGCATTCGAATCCGCCTTGTAAATTCGTGCAAGTACCGTTTCCGCATATGTTTACGTTGATTTTGCATTCGTTCTCGTCCACGCATTTCTTTCCGGTCGAATCCAGTGTGTATCCTACCGGGCATTCGCATCGGTAAGACCCGTCCGTGTTTATACATTCACCGCCGTCGCACGGGTTCGTCATGAAATCGCATTCGTTCAGGTCTTCGCCTTTGTCCCCGCGGCCGACGCCTTCGGGACACAATTTCATAAACGCGGCTGAAATCGACGAGGGGTTTGAATAATATCATTACGTAAACGCGCGTAGAAATTAAAAAAAAAAAAAAAAACTATAATCGTTACCACTGCCGGGCTTCGGACAAGCGGTACAGAGTTTTCCCCATCCGTCTCCCGACGAACAACAGCATTCTTTTTCTGTGATTCTCTGTTTTCTCGGGTCTAGACAATTGCCTGATGCGCGTGAACGACGTGATAACATTGATATTAATAACAACGATTTTATTGCTGATTAAACGAACGCAATATACTAACCGAACATGAATGTGTCGTAACAATAGTCTTGCCTCATGTCTACACATTTCATTCCGCTGGAGCTGAGAACGAAACCCTCGGGACAGTCGCATATTACACCGCCGTCCGTGTTCATACAAGTTCCCCCGTCGCATATGCCGGGCATTTCTTGACATTCGTTAATGTCTGCAGGAAAAAAAAAAATAAAAATAAAAAATATCCGAGTAAACCGCGAAATTAAAATATAATTTTTTTTTATTTTTAACTCGCCTAGACACGAATTTTTAGCAGCCGATAGTCGATAGCCGGGCGGACACGTACACAAAAACGAACCCATCAAATTTTGACATTTTCCCGGTTGAGGACATGTGTCTGGTAACTGAAATATTAATTGAAATGGACATAATGTTAGTCGATACTCCCAGTAGTACGATTCGGAATACACATTACATAGTGTATACGAATTCTGAATCGCGTGTAGTACACATAATAAAAATATCGTCACGACACGCGAACGATATTACGCAGTTACCTCGATACATTCGTCGACATCTCTACAATGTTGACCATCCGTGGACAGTACATAACCGGACGTACATTCGCAGCTGTACGCTCCCATAGTATTTTTACAACGACCGTTTCTACAAAGGAACGGCATCATTCTACACTCGTCCACATCTGTGAACGAAATGAATCCAAGTCGTTACGAGATTACGCTACGTCTAACAATTTAATATAGCGTGTTCACATACCTATGCAATCGTTATTGTGGCTCAATTTGAATCCGTCAAAGCAATTGCACTTGAACGAGCCTACGGAGTTCAGGCAAGTACCGTTGTTGCACACATTCGTGTGTCGACTGCACTCGTCGACGTCCACACAAGTATCGCGAGAAGCTGTCAACGCATATCCGTTATGGCAAACGCATTGAAAACTTCCGTCCAGATTGGTGCATTCGCCATCCCGGCAGATTCCTTCGCGTTCGTAGCACTCGTCGATGTCTTCGAACATTCATTGAAGTCAAAAACCCGTATAGATAACATTATTTAGCTAAATGACGACTCACCCACACACTCTCTTGCGGTCGGTCCGAGCTTGTATCCTTCGGGACACTGGCATTCAAAAGAACCGGGAGTGTTCACACACTGCGCGATTCCTCGACACGGAGTCGGTATGCGTAAACATTCGTTATCGTCTACGACAAATTTCGTTAACAATAATCGTCCGTAGAATTCGTATTCAGCCACTCGCATTAACGAAACAAGTACAGTGTTTTTCCTTCTCCCTCGTCAGACTCATTTATTTCGAGGAGAACCCTTGACCCTGATATTCCGCATAACTCGGTCTCCCACATCGTTAATACACACGTCAATAGTCTTTTTAACACTCTCAATCGTGTCCAACCGTCTCTTCCGTTTTGTCCCCGACATTCAATCTCTGATTCGTCCAAACCACCTAGATCGATTCTATCTTATCTCATCAACTGTTAAACTACATACATGTATTACGCACATTCTACTGTTTTTGTCCTATCTCCTTGAGTGACTTCACTTACCCTTCTATATATTATCATATTTGCTACACTATTGTTCAATGTACCGTAAACAAAATATTAAAAAAAAAATAATAACAACTCATACCGATACACTGGTGAGAGTTAGCGTCGTACACGTAACCGCTGTCACACGAACAATGAAAGCTTCCGGGCGTGTTGACGCACGTGCCGTGATTGCACATGTTCGGCATTAGCACGCACTCGTCAATTTCTTCGGTCTGGTTGGTCATCGGATTCATAATCAAACCGGGTCTTGATCCGCACAGCAACAGGTATTCCTCTTGGGTACACAAAAAACAACAATAATAGTAGCGCTCGCCTTATATTATTTATAAAACGATAATCCGAAACGTACTGGTACTCAACGCCGGGCAAGGTTGACACGGTGAACCCCAAGCTTGGCCCATCGAACAACAGCATATCATCCTGGTTTGACTGTTGGACATGGGCACTGAACACTGGCCGTCTGTGTAGTTCAAAAAACAGTTTTCCTTTCGCATGTCCACGCATTCCTCTATGAAAACATTACGATTATTATCAATTTAACAGGCCTGTGCGTATGGGTTTTTTAACGACGCAAATATTATCGACGTACTCCCGTTGGGCAGTAACATGTATCCGTCGGGGCAATCGCAATGATAGGTGCCCACGTCGTTCAAACAGTAACCTACGCCGCATATCTCCGGGGTTTCAAGACATTCGTTGATATCTAAAAAACGTTTATAAAACACGAGTAACTACGAGTGTACACAACGTCCGATCAGTTTGTGCTTCTTACATTACCATAACAGAATGTACTGGTGTTGTCTAGTCGGTAGCCTTCGTTGCACGAACACATGTAACTCCCGAACGTGTTGGTACAGTGGCCGTTTTTACACAGATTGTCGTGTTCTTCGCATTCGTTCACGTCTTCGAGTATTACCTTATTTATATATAAAAAAAAAAAAAAAAAATGTATAATCAAATTGTGTGTGATACAAATGGCCAATGAATATTTGAATTAGTATTCCGATATAATAATATTACGGTAGTCGGATTGGGTCTGTAACCCGTCCCTCCGGGACAAAGGGCCTTGTATTGTTCCGTGTCTACTGCGGGGCACGATTCGCATTTAGTACCCCAAGCTTTGCCCACGGAACAGCAACACGTGGCTTTCGACACCGGCGATCCCATTTCGTGATGGCAGAGTTTTCTGCCGCCTCGTTCTTCCGCTTCCATATAGCAACGTCCTTCTCTCTTGTCTAATTTCCGATGAAAAAAAAAAATTTAAACGATAACAAACGTGTTGTGTACGATCTCGAAACGTTTTCCGAAAATCAGGACTGTTCTTATAGAAAACATCTAGTATCGTATCTAATATCTAATCAGTATTCATCCGAACGTGTTTGTTTGTTTAAATATATTTCAAAATTATTCGCCGCGAATCGTTTTTCAGTCGGTATTTAATAATATTTAAATGCTGAACGAAAATTCCCGTGTACACTGTCATAAAAAAAAATAAACCGCTTACCGACACATGCGTTTCCGGCCGAAACCAATTGATAATTCGGCGGACATTTGCACGTGTAATTGCCTTCGTTGTTAATACATTCGCCGTACAGACACGCCTGGGGGCTTTCGCATTCGTTTATGTCGGTGCAATTCCCTATAGATAATAATGACGGTTATTTTATTTGTTTTGTGAAATTCACACGAAACGATTTTTAACTAAGATTTATACGATTTATCTGATCGTTTACCTCCGGTGTTGTCCAATTGGTATCCTTCGTTACACTCGCATCTAAACGTTCCGAATATGTTTTCGCAATTTCCAAACACACACAAATTGTTGAACATGTGGCATTCGTTTATATCTATTAAATGTATTGTTCGGTTACAGTAAGTTATCGTATTGTAATATAGAAAACATACAAGTATAGACGATATTGAAATACGATATTACAGTATTAGCATAACGATTTTTAAAAACTAATGCGAACAAATCGAATTCTCACCGTTGCAAGATCTTTCGTTCTTGTCGTCCGGATTGATGAAACCCATTTCGCATTCGCATCTGAACGATCCCGGATAGTTCAAACAGTGGCCGTTCTCGCATAGCGTCGAGTCTTCCGAACATTCGTCTATGTCCGTACAAATGTAACCGTCCCCGCGAAAACCGTCGTCGCACACACACTAAACACATAGGACAACAATAGAAAAAAAGCTGGTATTGCCGATGAAACTGTTTTAGGAAAACAGTCAGGGGGGGAGGAGACACATAAAGTAATTTGATTTGTATCTTCACGCAACCGTTGCTAACGGAAAAAGATTTTGAGCGGAATATAATAATAAGTAGTGTTTTTTCCTTGTCGCCAAAGTCGCCCGAAAATCAACAACGACTATACGAAAAATTGCTAGATTTTCCTATTCGTCGGGAACACTATGAGGAAAATTAAAAAAAACGACTTTTTTAATGTACCGACAAGATCAAAAATGCTACGCGAAATTCCTATAAGGTTAGAAAAACCACAGTAAAACAAAACCATTTCCCGTTTCGCTTAGAATCTAATATTATTATTTATACATTTTCCAAACAAAAATTTGTAATCTTATGAATGACTTTTTTTAAACCTGTTCTCCCCCCCCCCTCCCGATATAGAACACCGATATCGTTTCGTTAGATACATAGGTATATATACAAATGGACGGTCGGACGGACACATAATTTTTTTCGTATTCGAATAATTGAAATGTTTTTTTTTTTTTTTAATTAAACGTGTTTTTATTATAGTTGTGTGTCATATCGTTCACCTTGAACGAGCCTTCTTCGTTTATGCACTGTGCGTTTTGATCGCACCCTCCGTTGTTGGTTAAACACTCGTTGATATCCATACAGTTGTATCCGTTACCGGTAAATCCGTCTTGGCACCGGCATCCGTACGACCCCTGAAAATACCAAAAGATGATAATTTTTTTATTGCAATTCACTTGAGACAGAATATTATATTTTTGAATCGGCTGGGACGCGTATTCGATTTTCCGTATTTTTACGTATACGATATTTTGTAATTTTACCGGATTATTAATACACGCCGCGTTCACGTCACATCTGTGAGTGCCCATTTCGCATTCGTCTTCGTCGGTACACCCGGGGCCGGAATCCAGTTTGGCCGAATATCCTTCTTCGCACCGACAAGTGTACGACCCGATCGTATTGCTGCAAATGCCGTTGCCACACCGGTCCTTCTCGTCGCATTCGTTTATATCTGTTCGAGCAAATTATCGTACATTTCGATTTTATTCTCGGCAACAATAATATTATGATGATTGAAATAATCCGATAACCGTGTCGATTGTACTTGCCTAAACACGACGAACCGTCGGCGCCTTGGAGTAAACCTCCCGAACAAGAGCACAGATAACTGCCGATCGTGTTGTTACACTGGCCTCCGTTACAAATTCTAGGGTTTTGTTCGCATTCGTCTACGTCCACGCAGGTTCGTTTGTCGGCTAACAAATTAAATCCGTCTCTATACATAAACCAAAAAAATCCGAGTAAATGAATAATATTACTAAATAAAAAATAAAAAAAAAAAACACTGTTCTTATAATACTACACACTTGCACGAGCACATGTAACTACCCGGCATGTTGACACATAGAGACGTGCATCCGCCGTTGTTCGTCTCACACTCGTTAATGTCTATAAAAAAAACAAAAAAAGTCGCTAAACATTTTTAGATTCTAAACGTACGAGGAACTTATGTTTTTGTCTGTTAACAATTTTTATAATAGAAATATTACTCCGATCGTTAACATTAAGGGTGGATTTTGGTGGCGAATTTAGTCTAGTTAGTGCATTGGGAAGTCTCTGTTTTTTTTTTTTAAATTTTCCTTATAGTTTTCTTAACAATTGAGAAAAAAAAACCATCGGAAATGGGAAAAAAATCTATGCGATGACGATTTCTGCTGTTTACTAGTAGACCTAATATTTCATCGAATACTTATATCAGTACATTCTAGACGCGGTACAATTCTAAAAATAATAGGATGATTTTTGAACTATTTAGAATCATTTAAAATATTTTGGATTCAAAATCGCGGCATTTAAAAACATGTCCAATTAAATTTCGCTCAGAATCGATTTTCAAACGATATTTACACTCTAGTATAATGTTAAAACAAAACTAATTATTAAAACATTGTTATAATATATTCGATGACGTGTATTTCCCCCTATTTGCTCCCGGTATTCATTAAAACAACAAATTATTTACCAACTGTATTATAACATATATTACCTTCGCAATAAAATTTCTGGTCCGTTTGCCTGTAGCCGTCGTCGCACACACATTGATACGTTCCCATCAAATTCTCGCAAACTCCGTTTGAACAGATCCCGCTAGTCCTCGAACATTCGTCGATATCTGTAAACAAAAAAAAAAAACAAATAATATAATTATCGGAAATAATCGCTTAAAAAATAATCTCTTTTTTATACAAACCTTTGCAACTTTGCTTGTCCGCGGACAACTCGTGACCCGGAGGACATTCGCATTTATAACTACCCGGGGTATTTTTACACGTGCCCCCGCGACATAATCCGGGTGTTCTCTCGCATTCGTCGATATCTTTGAATAATTCGGAAAAAATAAAATATTAAATAATATTACGCGCAGTTATTAATACAGTGTTTATAATTCTATGCATTAATTGTTACCCATGCAAACTTGCATCAGCTGCGAAGTTTCGTATCCTTCTTTGCATTTGCACACGAAACTTCCCGGTATATTTTGACACTCCCCGTCTCCACAAACACCGTGCATGATACTGCATTCGTCGATATCTAAAAAAAGAACGATGTACAAATTTTACAACCATACGTAATATTTTCATCGAAACTGCACACGCTTAAAATCTTGAAATCTCACCGACACAGCGAATTCCCGATTCGTCCAGAGCGTACCCTTGACTGCATTTGCACGTGAAACCTCCCATCGTATTTTTGCATCGTCCGTTACTGCATATGCCGGGGAATTCGATACATTCGTTAATATCTTTGCGATCGATAAAACCGGGGCCCTGTTATTGCGATAAAAAATTAAATAGCTGGTTTTTTTTTTTTTTTTATAAGGTTGAGAAAACTTTATACCCGCATGCGCTGTCTCAATCCCATTAACGGTCGATAAAACAGAAGTTAATTACAAAATTAAAAAAGGACATTATTCCGAAGGGCAAGACTGTGCATTTATTTATTTTTTAAATTTGTTTTATTTTCTTCTAAAAAATGTATTCAATGTCACATTCGGAATAATAATATTAAAATAATAAGGGAAAACGCATCATATTTCTCTTCGGAATATTGTCTTGTTTTAATCTTATAAAAAGTGATTTTACTCTAAAACAAAAATCAAACGAGTTCTACGCAATCTGCGTAAGGTCGATTTTGCTATATTGCCCGTACAGTTAGTTGAATTGAGACAGAACGCGCGGGTATGACGTCCCCTTTTAATAACATTTCGTTTACTTTTGGACATAGTTCGGTGAAAGCCGGAGTACCGCGCCGAGGACAAGATTCGCTTCTACCAAGCGACACTTCTGTCCCTCCGCCCCAAGATTTCCCTATGGTGGAACAACAACAAATGCATTTCGGATAAAGTCCGTCCAACGGATTGATACCGGCCCCGTGTTTGAAATCCGTGTAACACTTTTCTTCTCGTATATCCAAACAAACAGTTCCTGCGTGACAAAAAGAAAATCAGGTGTAGGTAATTTAAATACATGTGTCTATAAATATTTATTTAGACTTGTGGGTTCATACCGGTAGTATCCAATGTCAATCCGGGAGGACAAACGCAAGTAAACGATCCTTCCGTATTTACGCAAGTGCCTCCGCCTCTACAAATTCCCGGGCTCAACTCACATTCGTTTATATCGCGACACATTTTACCGACGGCCTAAGTAGAAACAAAAAAAATGAATGTGTACAATCGACGCCGCCGTGCCGAGATCGGAGATCGGTAAAAAAAAAAAAAAACAGTTTACCACGTATCCTTTGTTACAATCACTGCCACAGTCTTCTTGTTTGCACGGCTCGCATGGACTGCCCCAAGCCAGTCCGATTGAACAACAACAATCCGATTTTAACGTGAGCTGCGCGAGGTTGTTTTCACACCTACCCCCGGTCAAACGTGTCCAACACGAACCGCGACGATTGTCTATAAAAAGTACATGAACAATATTTGGAAAAAATATTTATTTTTTTTTAATCGTAAATACATCATAATTGGAGTATAACTATATACGAATATTCAATATGTCTAGGGGTACCCGCAATTAACCGGACTAATGCGATGGGAGAAGCGGAATTTTCGTATTAAATTTCTAATAATTTCTGCCGGTAGTATCGCTTAGAGTTGAATATTGCCGGTTAGTTTACTAACCGATGTCGCTGGAGACGATTTTTTTCGACTGTTTTTAACCTGTTTTATTAGCAGTTTTGTTTACTAATTGTCGTTTTATTTTTATAAGTGATTTTTACAAACAGCGAAATATCGTGAAGTTTTGCTTCCTGTTTGGGAAAAATGATAAGAAAATACTTGAAATATTGAAAACGACTTACACGAATGACTTTACGAGAATCTATTTGGCCATGGGGAAATCAACCATTGAGAAAACGACAAGTACACAAAACAAAGTATACAAAAAGGTTCAAAATTGGTGAATTGAACCGATCCAATGAAATCACTCTGCAAACTAACTGGCAATTGATTACTCTAAATAATACTACGGGTCTAAAACGGTAATAAAAAAACCACGCTCCCCTCACATTAGTCCAGTTACTTGTGGGTGTCCCCTCGTATTTGTGACGTTAGGCGATTTTTGTAACAATAAAAGATTATATTAAAACGTAAATTTTACAAAATCGTGATGAGGCCTGTCATGCTGTACGGTGCAAAATATGGGAGAGCAGACTAAAAGAAAAAGCAACATAATAAATGCAGTAGATATGAGTGTGTTTGGACTGAAAAGCGGAGTCATTAGAATGAGTCATAAAAAATGAGATTGTAACGGCCGTTATATCATATGGGTATAAATTAAATAAATAAATTGATGTTGATTCGATAGTTGATAAAATTAAAGATAATAGACCGAGTTTGACGATGGTGTGGACATCTAACAAAACGCAATGATTCCAGAAGCAGTAAGAATAGTTTTACAAACGGATGTGGATTGAAGTAGGTGAAGAGGAAAATTAAAATGGGAGGTTGGACACGATGTAGAGAGATCGATAATGAGAACTGTTGGGTGCACACCGATGACGCGGGAGTGTCAGGTGGAGATTTAGAACCGGGCTGGTCGGACTCCAAATAAACAATAGGACTGTAAACATTATTCTTCTGTGTTTGCGACCTTACCCAAACAAACTCGCCCGGTACTGTCCAAAACGGTGCCCGGTGGACATTCGCATTCGAAAGACCCCAACGTGTTCACGCATTGACCCGCTACACACGCGTTAAGACCGAGCTCATCGCATTCGTCTACGTCCTCGCACGCTTGACTTTGGGGGTTCAATGCGGTTCCGACGGGACACGTGCACTGAAATATATGGTAAATACAATGTATATTATTATTTTACAAAACGATACGAGCAACAACTGTACAAATAAGGTACCGCGGTCAATGTTCTCGAAATATTCGGTATTTCGGTTTTAAAATTTCCGAACTCGAAAAGGCTATGAGATAAATTCAATTATTTATCAAAGTTTAATTAAATGACGTAATAGTTATAGATCGAAACCGAAAACCCAAACACTGATCACTTTTCCCCGTTTCCGCCTGGACGCAATGATCTTTTTTCGACGGCAATAGGCATTTTATAAACTCTTGAAACTCAAAAACGTTGTATTTTTTTCCCCTAGCTTTTTGCATAATGTTTATGCATTCGTTCAGGAACAAACCACGCCGTTTTTCCCCGCATCTCTTAAAATGTTATCGTATTATTACATACCTGGAAATTTCCCGGCGTGTTGCGACACTGCCCTCCGTTGCATATCGTGTCCTCCATATCGCACTCGTTGATATCTTTGCACGTCTTGCCCGTGTCGTCCACTTCGTAACCTGAATCGCATATACAGCGATAGTTTCCTATTGTGTTTTCGCAAGCGCCGTTGGAACACACGGCCGGATTTTGAGCGCACTCGTTTATATCTAAAACGACGAATAAACCATTACCTATTATGGATTATCGTTTATCGTTTATTTTCGTTCGTAACCGAACGATACCAACCGTCCCCGTTGTAAGTCATCCCGGAACCTAGCGGACAAAGCGCTTTGAACTCCAAACTGTCCGGCGAAGGGCATTTCGTGCACGGCGAACCCCATCCGGGAGTTTGACCGGCCACGCCGTACGAACAGCAACAGCTCGATTTCGTCATCGGGGTGTTCAGTGGTTGTAAACACGAGCCTTGCTGGTAGTTAGCGTAGCACAGGTCACGGAGAGTGTCTGAATACCATCGATATCGGAATGACATTTCGTTAATATTCGTAGGCAATATAGTGTTTATTATAACGACTTACCCAAACACGTGCGTCCGTCGAGTCCCAAATAAAATCCGTCTTGACATTCGCACCGATAACTTCCTGCCGTATTTACACATTTGCCATTTTGACAAGGACCTCCTCCGTGCACGCATTCGTCGATATCTCAAAAAAAAAAAAAAAAATCAAAATATTTATGGTAAATAATATTATTGTTATTGGCGTTGTCGCGAGATATTATATCGATACGTACCTATGCAGTTCTGTCGATCGGGTGACAATCTGTAACCGGAATCGCAAACGCACTTGTACGATCCGTCGGTATTCGCGCATTTGCCGTTTCTACAGAGATCGGGTTTTTTCTCGCATTCGTTTATATCGGTACAAAACGTTCCGTCTGGTGAAACCGTATAGCCCGGCTGACATTCGCATATGTACGAACCCGGGGTATTTCGGCATTTACCGTTTAGGCAAATTCTCGGGTTTTCGTAACACTCGTCGATATCTAAAAACGAATACGTTTTTAAAAAAAAAAGAAAAAAAAAAGAGAAACAAAAAACAACTGTAGGATGAATAAGGTCAATCAGAGGGTTATAGAAAGGAGTCAGAAATCAGGGTCCAAGGCACATGGTTAGGTTGAGTTAAATGAAAGGCTTATGGCTCAAATGTATTATATTAGTCTAAAAACGGTTTACCTATACAAGAGTGTCCGGTTTTCGACATGACGAATCCTGTCTTGCAACGGCATTGGAATGATCCTTGTATGTTTAAACATTTTCCGTTTGCGCACATGCCGTTTTTTTCACATTCGTTGTGGTCTAACGGGTTCAACCAGTGTTAGAAAATCAGTCAGTGAAATTACACAATCGTCGTACATTTAAGTGTAAATAATATTTACCTATGCACCGTGTTCCGTCCGAAGCTAAATCGTATCCGGGCGGACAAGAGCATATAAAACTTCCCGGAGTGTTGGTACACTGTCCGTTATTGCAAATACCCTGTTGCAAGCACTCGTTGATGTCTACAGAAAAAAAAAAAAAAAAACGAAAAATCCGTTGACAGTTAATGCCGTCTGATAATGCGTACGTTGTTTCTAAAGCGTTATTTACACATAGATGACTAGCCTTCACACACTTGCGAGTCCTCGTGTCTGCTTTTCGTGAAACCGTGATGACATTCACACGCGTACCCGTCCACGGTGTCGATGCACTTTCCTCCGGATCCGCAAATTTCCGGTCTTAATCCGCATTCGTCTACCAAATTCAGTATCGTCTGATTCACTCTACCCCCGAGACAGAGTTTTACGTGCTCGGCTGTAATACAGAGTCGACGATATCATTGCTCAATCTGTGTACTGCGTGGGTATGCGTATGCAATTTTATTTTACATTTACGACGCCGCCATTCAAAAACGCATTGAGCTCTATACATGTATTTTTAATCGCAATAAAACATACAAAATACGGTTTTCAAATCATCGTCTGTTAACAATGATTTTACCATATTTCGTTAGCTATACCGGTGGTTGTATTAAAAATTCGTTACCACGTTTTTTTTTTATGTAACTATAAATGCTAATATAATTTGCTATAGTAAACGGTATATCGGTATGAAAATACAATTTTTTTGCCATTAAAAATATTTACCCATTCCTTGTGATGGACAATGTTCGCAAGTGTTTCCCCAACCCTTGCCCATGTCTTTGCCGCAGCAACAATCTTTTTTCGAAAGTTTCATTCCCAACGGCTCGGAGCAATCCATATTCGACGTGAGTTGCGTGTAACAGTTGCCCTGCTGAGTGTCTGCAGACGAATTTCGAGAAAAAACAATTTTTTTAATTTTACTTTTTTTTCTAAAAAAACCCGGCTTATTAAACAGATAAAACAATTTTAACATTGCCATTATAACAGTACTCAGATCACTAACCTATACATCCTTTTCGGTCCGTGGTGGGCACGAACCCCTGTTTGCATATACAATAATACGAACTGTCCGTGTTTACGCAATAACCGTCTTGGCAAATGTTCGGGTCGCCTTTTTTGCATTCGTTCTCGTCTTCGCAAACGTTCGTCACTTCGTTGTGCACTCGACCTTCGGGGCATACGCACTTGAAAGACCCCATCGTGTTCAAACACGCGCCGCCTTTACAAATACCCGGTATCGCCTCGCACTCGTCAATATCTAAAAAAAAAAAAAAAAAAAAAAAAAAAACAAAAAAAAAAAAATCAAAATCGACCAAACTGACGTCGGCGTCGACACCATAAAAAGCCTCCGATGTGTGTCAAATGTGTACAGTTATGACAATTTAAAAATTATAAACTAAGACCCACATTTTGTCCTCACTATAAACTACCTAAGCGATTGGTCTAAATGCTATTGGAGGTATTGAGATGCAGCGAATCCCGCCTATGCGACATTATAATATTATGTATAAGCGATTATTTTTAACTGAATTACAAAAAAATAACTCGAAATCATTATTGCGTTCATATAGGCGCCAAAGATGGAATATAACAATTTTTTTTTTTTTTACATATTTTGACAATTTAAAAACTTTATGGAATTATAATATATACTATGCCCGTGTAGACTATACGTATGTGGACTATCGTAGGTACCTGCATTAAACGACAATTTATATCACAACCGTCAAACAAAAAACATCCGTTTTTCACATGATTTATGCAAGATTATGATGTGTGAAAACATTCCTTTGTATACGATTTCTAATGTTTAATTCCGATCGGTTCTTGAAAAATATACACTGAGAAAAACGTATACAAATAATTGCTACTTAGAAACTATGGATCAAATTAGAAAATACGTTATTGGAAATAAAATATAAATTTCCGTAGATTAAAAAATAGATGTACACGGAAGATATATTGTAAATGTAAAAATTGGAACTACAGAACGATAGATAATTTATCTAAAATATAAATTTTGTTGTGCGTATTTTTTTGCGTATCTAATGGATTTAAATGAATATTTTAAATTTTTTACGTATATATTTTTCTAATTTTACCTTAACTACTCTGTCCTAGAAATAACAAAAAAAAAAACAATTTAGTGTAATGTAGTAGTTATTTTAAACGTTTAAAGTTTACATTTTAACAAAGATCGATCAAAATAATTTCGCGTAATATTTCTTTTAACAAACTTAAAAACGTTAATTTTTTGTAGAGTATGCTAAAATTGTTGTCGTTCCAATAAACCCAAATTAAATTTCGCCGGTTTCGAGAAATAATAATCGCCTACAACAGAACATCAATCATCGGTTCGTATTAGGTATATCATAGTTTTTTTTTTTTTTTTTGTATTGCGTCCAAAGTAACGGCATGATATTATTTTTGAATACCATCCAATATCGCGATTCGTGAACAAATTATTAATTATTCCGTGTACAACCGACAGCTTTAACAAGTAGGTGTGTACCCACCTATGCATTGGTTAGTGTGCAAGTTTTTGAGAAAACCAACGTCACAGTCGTAACTCAGCGAACATTGTTCGCACGGATGTCCCCAAGCTTGGCCTATTGTCGCGCAACATAATTGTTTGGTGCAGACGACACCCTCGAGTTGTCCTTGGCACATATCGTTGATCACTCTGGTATAACACGGGCCAATTCGGTAATCTAAAATCAAAAGAAGTGTTAGCAACAACAATACCGTATAGAAGATGAGAAGACGGATAAAAAAATATTAATTAAGCGCCAATAATTGCGTTCGAACGGATATATTATTTATGTATATGTATATGTATTTTTTTTCTTTTTTTAAAAACAATACACGATTAACATTTTTAAAAAAAGAACAAACGCAATCATTTATAAATACAGGCACAACAGAATCTCGCGGGTGATCGCCTAAATTATTTTTAGCGACGTCGAAACTGCCTACAATATAATAAGTACTATTGTTATTGAGAGTACGTCATATACGCACAATCGTTTTGTTGTATCCGTCTTAGAAACACACACAATTTGCATTGAGTAAAACCGATTTTCCTCCGTTAGTTTTAACATCAAGGACAGCGAATCGAATTATATTATTAATCTTAAAGGTATCCGTTTGAGAACCAATTCTGTGTTTGGACGACGGTTTTTTCCATATATTTTTATTTTTAAGTGAATTTTAAAAAGTTTTCAATTGTCACATTTCCCATTCTCCATCTTTTAGTTCGGCGTCGTTTTTAAATACTCGGAGGTGTTTCATTTTTTGAAACATCGTGTACTCCGTTTTTTTTATCACTTTGGAATAACAAATTTCCTATACGTTCTAGGATATTGTCTTGTTGAAAATCTAACGATTCAAATATTATATCGTTTATAGAAAAACAGTTATAACTTATGCATACAAGCTGCGAAAACTCGGTAAGAACTCATATGTACTTAGGAAGAAATATGCAGCGAGTGTACACGTAAGTACAGGAAAATAGAGAGTTGGTAAAAATTTATTGAGGTTCGAATATTGTGGAAAACGTTGGTAAGACACCCAAGATTAATATGGAAAGATACGTAAATGAGGCTGTGGGAAAAGTGAAATTCGGAGTGAATTGGAGGGTTTGGCATTGGAAAGGGAAAGTTGAACATCAGTGTGGTCTTAGAGCAGGGGCCATGGTACAAGAAGATATTACACATGTTCATATCTCATCACTTAAAGTTTAAACATCAAAAAAAAAAACCCAAATTACAAACAAAAAAAATTGAAGTTTGATAATAATTCGATTCACTTTAATAATGTCAATACAAAACTAACAACCGAGCAAAATCGATTCAACTGAACGCTAGTTCAACGGATCGACGGAAATCAAAAATGTCAATACCAAAATGTTTTTTAACTAATAGTCCGTATCTATTGATGGGATTTTTTTTTATGTAGTTTGCCGTTTTAAAATCAAAAGTAATTAGCGGTTTTACCCATCTGATATATGGATGACCAAAGTTAACATAGATTTAATATCGTAGAGCTGCTCGTTTGCTAAATGTCCTCTAAAACAAAACGTTTTTGAAAGCCGAAAAGAGTTAACGCTTTCCGAGATAATGAGTGTCTTATGGGTGGATCGATCACCTTGTATACGTGAAAATCATACCGTTTTTACGTCCAGCTAAAACTAAACTACCACCGGGTAGTTTTTTTTTTTTTTTTAGCGACCGTATCAGAATATATTTGCTGATATTATATAGATATGGTTTTTCGCGCGTGTCCCGAACATGATATTACATACTAATTTGGACTCGGTCCAAGAAATACACGTCCCTCCGAGCGCGAGACGTATAATAATAAATTATCATAAGGCCGCCGAAAAAATCACACTTCACGGCTAACGACCCGACTCGTGTCGCCGGACACGTCCAATCGCAAATTTTACCGCCAACAAATATTTACCCACCGGCTTCACATCTCCGGCCCGCGTATCCGTACACGCACGCACACCGATCGGGGCCGATGCACCGACCTCCGTTCAAACATCCGTCCCGACAAATGGCTGCAAAAGAAAACAAAAAAAAAAAAAAAAATGTAAATTTACATAATATTGTTTTAATAGGCACGCGCGTAGACGTGTTAAATATTCGAATAAAAGTATTTTTAAATAAAACAAATATTCGAACGCGTGCAGCACAATAATCGCTTCGGAGTATTGTACGCACGCACGTACGTAAGTATTTCAAAATATGTTTTGCAAAGGCACAATATTTGAAGGTATCCTTTTTGTAAATGCGTTTTCTAATTTTCAACATCTTTTTCCGTTTGTAATAGACATTAAGAGAGCGTGATACCGGATGATCTATTTAGCCACCTAAATAGATCATCAGTGGGTATACACTCATTATCGGAAACAATTAACTTTTTTCGGGATTTGTTTTCTAGAACATTTAAGAAACGAGCGGCTAAACAATTTTATATTTATTTTGTTTTATGTCACCCTTATTTTTGGGGTAAAAAACCACTTTTGATTTTAAAATTGCAACCTATATTAAAGATCCCATAAATAAATTGAGAGTATTAGTTAAAACAAATTTGAATGTTGACATTTTTGATTTCTGTCAACCCGTTGACGAGATATTCCAGTTTTAAGTTTATGTTGGAGAAGAATAGTGGCGCATTTTTAACACGCCGCGTGCCGTACCGCCCCACAAATGGATACTCCATTACTTTCCTAAAACCCAAACTTAAAAGTGGAATATCTCGTCAAATAATCGACGGAAATCAAAAATGTCAACACTAAAATTTATGTTAACTAATACTTCATGTTAAATACATATTAAAAACACTAAAATTTATGTTCACTTATACTCCATGTATTTATGAACTTTTTAATATTTTAGGTTGCCATTTGAAAATCAAATGAATATAGTGATTTTACTCCCGAAAATACGGGTGACAAAAAAATAACATAAATATTAAACTGTAGAGCTGCTTGTTTTTTAAATGTTCTAGAAAATAAATTATGGAAAAAGTTAATACTCTCCGAGATAACGAGTGTGTCAAACTCAAATATTGTCAAACATTGTCTGTGCAACGTCGAAATTTCAATAATTTCAAGTGCGATATAAGCGTTAATAAATTGTGATGTTTCACATATACTCGTTTTTCTATTCGTAATTCATGCAGCGCAAAAGTAGCGCCAACGTTGTACAGATAATGTTCTTATCCTTAAGTTTCATAATAATCCAATTCACTCTAATATTAAACTAACAGCACGATATTGTTCCTGCGAAACGTAGATTTTCTGTGACGTGTACGTTTGTATGTCAGAGATGGCAAATGCGAGTATTACGCCCTCTTAACAATTTAACCGCACCGCACTACACCGTAATACGTAAATATAATGTATCGAAAGTTAAATTTAAAAAAAAAATCTAATGTTAAAGACTCTAAACGTATATAGGATAATGTGTATGAAAACAAGTAATTTTTGAAAGTATTTATGAATAATATTCATGAAATATCTGTATTCGTACTCGAGTAATTTTTTTAACGGAGTACCATAATTTAAACGTCCGTTTTAGACAATAACAACGTATTTCGTACTATTTTAAAAAGTATATTTTTTCAAGTTTGCACGCTAATGCACTCTCTTGATGAATATTCATAGCTTAACGGATTTTCAACATGTCCTAATGGTGAAATAACTAAAATAATTCATTTTCAACATTCAAATATGTCACACGCAATAATCGCCATTGTGATTTTTGATGGTTTTCAGATTTAAATCGACTAAAATATTACTGTTACCGATTCACTAAAGAAAACATAAAAGGAAAAAACGATTTTTTGTGTCTTTTGCGCATATTTGCCGCAAACACCGTAATGGAATAGCTGGAACTACGTCAATGAGATATTATACTTACGTTCCGCACAATTTTCGCCAGCGTAACCCTGTCGGCACGTGCAAACCGATCCCTGGGTGCAGGTGCCGCCGTTCAGACACGGATACTTGCACGCGTTTCTCGTGTTGGTGATCTGCGAGGCCGGAGTCGCCACTGACCTGCCGCCTCCTCCGACGTTCCCGCCACCGCTGACGCCTCCTGTGTTCCCGCTACCAGTAGCCGATGCACTCGCCCCCGACGATGGTGTATCCTCCACGCGGTCTGGCGAGGACGACGGCAGCTGCGGCCGCGGCTGCTCATCGTCCCTGTTGTAAGTGTCCCGGAGGTCGTCGGGCAGACACGCCGATCTGACCGAGCCCTCGTCGCACAGACACATGTTCGGCTTGATGCACCGACCGCCGTTGCACGGTCTGTTGCACACGGCTGAGAGCAAACGAAAAGTTAAGTTGGATTATAACCATCGTCGCAGTCGATACGTTTAAAACATTGTGTATAAAACGAATTTTATACAAATTGCAATGCGTGTTATATTGAAATCATAGGGTTTAAACGCAAATAAATGCATTTAGAAGGAAAATATTTTTCGTGTATAGTTATTTTTAAAAAAAATAGCTGATAGTGGTGTGGGTGGGGCCACTGTACATGGTTTATTGGGTAGTTGGGATACATGAATTTATTTAATTTATATCTGTACGCAAAAATAAACCATTGTCGGAGCGAAGTTCGGTAAGACATATTTTTAAATGTCGTAATTTTGACGATTTCGGTCTAAAAAGCTGTTATTATTTTTCGATTGAAGCAATGATTCTAAGGGAAACCATAAGGTTTTTATTTTTTCTGAATTATTTTAAAAATCTCTAGAAAAATCAAAAAATGACCCGTCTAGTGCACCAACTAGACACAATTTATTTTCAGAAAAAGTACTACACTCTATAGACTGGGACAAGATTTTTTTTTTCGAAAAGCGTTTTTTGGCCTTTATTAAAAAACTTATCCGATGCAACAGTAAATGTGTCGCTAAAAAATCAATAAAATAGAATAAATACCTAACGGATGGACAGATCGAATTTATTAAAAAACCCCGAGAAGTTAGTTTCAATTAAAGATGTGATAAAAATAATTCAAGTAATGAACTCACGGTAAACGGTAAAGCGTCTCCTTCGGTGGAAGTTAAAATAATTAAATCGAACCGTAACAAATACTGCAGACAGCGCCGAGAAAACAATTTACAGGCAGGCGTAAAACGTAATTAGGAAAATGAAAAGGTCTTTTTATTTCATTGACATGGATACTGTATGACAAAACAATGACCCGATGACAACGCCATAGATATTATTAAAGTATTGCTGCACGGCGATCGTCCGAATATTACCGACCGAAAATTATATAAAGACGCATATAATTCCGACACTCTCTTTAAGCCCCGAACCGAATTCTCCTCCCTTAAATCTCTGGAACACAAACTTTCGAAAAAACCCCATAGTTGCGAGGTTATCTAACAGAAATAGTTTAGTTGTTTACAGACACAAAAAAAAAAAAAAATCACATCATATTAAAACCAAAAGATCCTTAGCTCCATTCAGAATTTAAAAAGCAAAAGTGACATATAGTGTTAACTGCTTTGTTTAGTTGTTTACAGACACAAAAAAAAAAAAAAAGCGACGAAGTGACGTGAGCGAAGTAGCTCCCCCCACTTGGTCCGATCGATTCCTGATTTGCGGCAATTTGCAATCGGAATTTTTAACCGGTTAGTTCGGGCAGCCGCGAATAATTAATTTCGCTACTAATGTGCAAATAACGAATCGAAACGTTCATCTCGGTATTTTGTGCGAGATGTCAACGTGCCAACGCAAGTCCTAATTCGATCGAACACAGCAGGGTAGAGGAAATATTATGGACGTGACGTAGTGCCGTCAAAAAACAGTGGCCTCTTTAGATTTGCTTGTTATTTGCGTTTAAGTTCTAACTATTTCAACTTTAGCGTCACAATTTTAATTTCTATGTTGTACGCAGTTGCGTTGTACGTCCCGAGGACGAGCGCGATTTCGTCCGGAGACGATAAATTACAACGTTTTACAACGCAGAATGGTCGATATTGAAATAACAACATTGATTAAAATTGTCTACTGTTTACACTTTCAAATCACTTTTGATCTCTCGTCGGTGACGATGCGAGTGATATTGTGAACGACGACACATCGCGCACATTTAAAACGGGTAGTTGTTATTATTTTTGTGGTCGCAATTAACGAAGCGTATATAATGGCAGTATGTCCTCAGCCGTTTTATGTGTTTATAACCAACAATAATATTAATAATAATAATAATAATAAAAAAAAAAAAAAACAACAACACTTGAGATGCAATTAGCAATTGATAAAAGCGTGTAAAAAAAATAATTATTAATAACATAATGTACTCACGGACGATACAGAGTCCGGTCGCGTGTTTCAACGTCCAGCCCGGACAACAGTAGTTTCTAAACCGCGACCGGCACACGTTCGGCCTGGAAAAAAAAAAACACAAAAATATATCTTAACACAGTAATTCGAATAATAATTTTAAATAACTAATCCAAACGCTACGTATTTTCAATAATAGCTATCCTGGGTTTTCGAGATGCTCACTGAAACGAATATTACTGTTTAATTTTCCATAAAATTCTTATGTTTTTAAAATAAAAAAAAAAAAAAACAAAAATTGTAAAACTTTCTAGCACTATAAATTCTAAAATTTCACGATGTCCTTATTTTTGTCGCGTGTATTTTTCGGGGGCCCGAAAAGGACTATACCCACTTTGGATTTTCAAATCAAAACCTATATATTGACATAAATGGTGTATTAATAGTGTTAATAAACTTTAACAATATCATTTTTCGAAAAAGAAAAGTATTTCACGGGAAATTTGACTGTAACGTAAATAACTGTGAATGTCCGCGGTTGGCGGACGCTGACAGTTACCCGATGAATGTTGACAAATGAAAAAAATACGGACATTAACTGGCGGCAACGTCGACATTTACACGACGATTTCGGTCAATGTTGACGTACAAAACACGAATTCGGTTGACGTTGACATATTATGTATATTGTGTACGTACGTGTAGTATAGACCAAGATTCTCAACCTTTCGTGGTACATGCCTCCTTTCATACTATTTTATGATGCCACGCCCCCCCCCCTCACCGCAATAAGATTGAATTACGTGTGATATATGAATCATATAGGGTATTGGGCTAATATGAATGAAAATCAACAGAGTTTTTTTTATCTTCTGAATGTAGCGAATATGTTTTTATGTAATTTTTTTTTTCTTAAAGATTTACATTAAATTCCCTTCTGTATCCTATATTCCTAACTTCCTATCTACAACAGTGGCTACATCCGATATATGCTCGTTTTTTTAAATATCTAATGAATTTATTTGTTAGGAAAAAAAAATGATTACAATTTAAATTTATTAAAACAAATTATATTATGTTCACTTTTTTAAGCATTAAATTTACATTTATTCTTATTAAGCGGATACAAATTAATGAGAGGGCCGGCACTGCCAAGTTCCGATCGATTTTTTAATGTTTGGCGACAACTGTGGTAACGTGCATCTCAGGTCACACCCCGTCAAAATTTTCACGCTTCCCTACGCCCCCAGTTTGAGAACCACTGGTGTACGACACGTTTGATTTAATCAACGGTTAAACTATTATTAGATAATATTATTTTATTTGTTTATTTGTTATTATGATCTCGGTTTTAACACATTGACGGACATTACCGCTACAGCTGTAACATGCGAAATGCCGTGTTACGTTAATACTGCTGAAGCGATAATCTTTTAAATGGTATCAAAGCATACGGGACAGCGGACTTCCACATTACGGCAGTCCGCACGGACAATTAATATAGATTTTGGATGTAGGTTTAACATTACTATTAAAAATTATATAACGAGTATATCTGTCAATGTTTTAAATGGACTATAAAGCGGCCCTCCACACACGACTAACGCTATTGACAGTATTTTATTGATCGCGAAATGTGGTGACTACTGATGACGTACTGTCAGTATGAAAGAGCGATACTGAAGACTGATACAAAAATCGGATATCGAGTCGTCAGTATTTTTTACCGATGGCGTGAAGTGGATATAATGATAGGGATGGAGGACGCACGTGCGCGTTACACGTTGTAAAACGCCGTGATGTTCACGATTTTCTAAAACATTTGAATTTTCAACGCGTATATTAAAAAAAAAAAACTACTACATCATGTTTTACTTTCTTTTCTTTTTTTATCACCGAATGAATCGTATGATAAATCCCGTGTTAAATTATACAGCGATAATTATTATTAATATTATATAAACGACGAAATACAATAGAGTATGCATTTTTATTCGTAATGTAACGTTATGTCTACCTAAATTTTTTTTTTTCGTTTTTTTTTTATAACGTACATCAATTTATATGTTTACATGTTTGTAGACAAAATAAAAAAAAACAAAAACGATACGTTTATTTTACATAATTCATAATACGACGTATTATTTATTCAATATAAATAACTATCGGTTTCCGTTTTTCTATATTTGACATTTTGTATGTACGTAAAATTTCCGAAGTTTTTTATATTTTTTTTTTTTTTTTTTTTCCCAATAGCCAAGCCAATATAATCCTACCACTATAAATCAATACAATTCCTTTTTTTTTTTTTAAATTTCGTTTTTTTTTTAATTTTTTTATTCCATGATTTACTTCTTATGTTTGTATATATTATTATTATTATTTTTATTTACACGTACACCGGACACGTTTTCGTATACGATAATACGAATAGCAGGAAATCGCAGGATTCGAGAACACAATTTAATAATGATTATTATTATCACTGTCGCACACACTTTATTCCTTATATCCAGGGCGCGGATTTTATAACATTTGTTCATTATTATAGGATACAGATAAAAATAGCAGAATGAGTTTTGCAATTTGTTTCATGCACCGGAGACTCAAAATGTGAAATTTTATATTGATATTCTTTGCATATTTGAAGTATTTTAGGTTTTTAGTGCTATTTTTCAATATTCATATTTTTTGATAATATGTATAATATATAACTAATTATTTATTTTGTGTTTTTCATGATTAGTAGAAAAAATCTATTATTATTGTGTGAATTCATAAGAAAAATACACATGCATTTTCGTTTCATTTATAATCTATTTCGAACAGTTTATATGTATGACTTGTTATCGGTTGTATTTATGTATTTTAAAAAAATTAAAAATTAAAAAAATTGTATTTTTATCATTTTGCATGTTTTTAGGTGACACTATGGCGCATATATCAGTTATTTTCAGTGCTGAAAAATCCCAGCACAGTTTACATCTAATGATTATAATATTCTATGGTCATAAATTTAAAAAAAAAAAAAAATATTAATTAACCGAGTTAAGTTAAAAAAAGTTGAATGAAACGTTATTATTATTAATTTTTTCAAAATCGTTTTTGTCATAGCGGAAACGATAAAATCTACCAAGTGTTTGCGGTTATTTCTTTGAAAACCAAGAATGATCATAATGTTCAACACAGTTGTTTTGTCCCGTCACGTGTATACCACGATACACCTAAGTCGGTATATACAACGCGGAACTGTTAACAAATTGTCGAGCAAATACTATCTAATCATACTGTTTATATAGCACGCGGATTGTAAATATTTAGTGGTGCGTTCAGGAGATTGAAAATTAACTAGTTATTTATAGCAAGTGTAAAAAAAAAAAATAATCGCTCCTTAATTAAGCAAATTGGAGTTGATTATTGAACGGTAAAATAAATAAAAGCGAAAACCATGGATCCAATACGTCATAATACACATCATATAACGTCAATTACGGATTCTCAAAGAAATGAAAATTAAATAAGTAATCGAGTGACGAGAGTTGATAAAATGTGTTAAAACTGAACGTCTAACTACGAATTATTTTTAATTAAGAGTGTACGAATAATAGTGGCATTCTCAATAATTTGATATTATTTTATCCTAAAAGCCCAAAAGCAATTCGGTCAATTAAATTTGGAGAACAGGTGAATTCGAAAAAATCCGATTATATTGATTATTGTATAAGAGTATGCGAAATTTCACATTGATCAGACCACAAGAAGTGAGTAAAAAATTGTTCTCAAATTTCAAATTTCGTTCTCTTCTTCTATTAAGTTAAACATAGAATATGGTAAAATAGTACGCGAACAACGTGAATTTTATTAAAATTTGAAAAATTAATGCCTTCAAGAAAAAAAATTTAAAAAAATACTACATTGCGTTCGGTTTTTTTTTTTTTTTATACCTGCTATATTAAATATACAATAAACTTCATATGAAATTGTCTAGCATTTCTATTTGGCCGAACAATTTTGTCCTCATTAAACCATATAAAAACTCAAAACGAATTCGTAAATGTCAAATGCCTATAAATTGCTCAAAAAACTTCAGAATTTTTTTTACATTTTACCAGCTCTTAAAAAAGGTTAGAATAAAATCGTTGTAAAAATGTCTGGTCTCAACGATTATTCTAACCAAATTACAATAATAAAAAAAAAAAAATCGAAAATAATAGACCCGTTAATGCCGTAAACATTCGCGATTTTCCTACGTTTTTTTTCCCAATTATTTAGAACACTATACGACAAACTATCTCCGTATAAACCAAAAATATTCAAAATGCTCCAAAAAAGCTCAATTATCGTTTTTTAATTGGAAAAAAATTTCTGATGAAAAATTTGTTTACAAGAAAAAAACGAATGCCACTCGTTACAATAAAACCAATATCTTCCTCATTGCGTTCAATAATCAAACCGTTCGAATTCGTCCGCGATTACAATTTCAACTCAACGATTATTCTAACCAAATTACAATAATAAAAAAAAAAAAAAAAAATGTTTCAACGTTTTTACACGTTCACTCGTAGGAGGACGTTTTTGAATTTGGTCATTTTTACTCCGGAACATTTTTTTTTTTTTTTTATTCTGGCATTCTCACCGCGATGCGTGCACGGGACGTGTCGATAAAATATCGTCCTCGATTTTCGAATTTTCCGTTTCTTTTTAATGTTATTAATATGATAATATTATTGTGCCACACGCGCCGAAAATAAATACTGTAATCGTTCGACCGCCGCGCGTCGGTAGAAACCAAACACCGATAGTATTATTATCAGTCGGATCCGCTTTGTTATAAAAAAAAAAAAAAAAAAAAAAATTATATAATAATAATAATAAAAGCCTTCATAAATACACGTCGTTGTCGTCGTATCGGACGCGAGTATAGGTTACGATAGCGACCCCCAATATCGAGTGTACATAATATTACGATTTTAAACGGGTATAATATTGATTTAATTTTACGCGGACCGTATGATTACGGATGATTTGTAGTCGTGGCCGATAAACACGCTCGCACACACCCCGGTGTTTTTTTACATTTTTTTTTTTTTTTTTTTTTTTTTTCGAAAATCTATTATCATAAACGCCATGTGCTTACGATTATAATATTTAACTACGTGGGAAGTGCCGATATCGGAAACGGTGTACAATCTGTGCGTAAATCGTCCCGATAACATCGTTATACAGAGCGATCCATCGATCGTGAAACACCGATGTTCTCGGATGATTTCGAAGGGAGTTCGATTTCTGGTTTCTTTCCCCCCCCCCTTTCCAATCATTATAAGAATCATTTAAACATCGAATTTTATCGCGGTTTTAAATGACCGCGCTCCGTGTACTAGCGTAACGGGTACGCTTTTTATGAACCTTCGCTCCGCCTCCTTTTGAACGCAGATTTTACGAATTATGACGGTTTAGAGTGGTTTGAATAGACTGATGAAATCATACTAGCTTCAAATCATACGAGACAATGGTCTGTTCACGATGAACGAATCACCCTGTATGGCCAATTCGAGCGTTAATATTTCGTTATTATATTACGATTTATTTTTTTATGCCACGCTCTCTCTCTCTCTCTCTCTCTCTCTCTCTCTCTGTGTATGTCTGATCTTGTAAATCGAAGATCATCGCGATTCGCCCGGTTATAATATTATTACGGTCGTACACCGTATTATTATTACACAAGCCACAACGTAATAATTTAATAAACTATTCGTGACACGCTTAAGGGGCCCGGTGCCAGATCGTTTATTAGGCTCAAAAGACACGCCTCACGGGACAAACTCTCATGCCTCGAATACACGTCGTGTAGACGAGTCCGATTTCGATCATTATTCATTTTTTTTTTTTTAATTTTTTTTTTTTTTGAATATTCAAACATGCTCGTACGAGTAAAGGTCAATTTTTACTATTTTTTCCATCATTATTTTTGAAATCAGACGGTGAATCGGAGTTCAATGAGGTCTGTAAAATGTTTTCGTTAAAACGAGTAGTAGACAAATATTATGTTAACAATAAATCATGCACACTCTCGCGCGAACAATAGATTAGTGGAAAATTCGTATATTTGATGTGGTCTTTAGAATGTTCCGAATAATTTTTAAATTTTACAAAATCGGAGAAAATATCGAAAACCTATATTAACCGACGAGAGTTTACATACTATACGGCATATTGTACGCTTTTATCGGTCGTGTAAAACGGCCAATAAAACGTACACATTAAACATCGTACGTTCCATCTTTCGCTATTTTTTTCTTCAGTTTCGACATTTCTTTATTAATTTTCAGTTCAAGTTGGTGATTTTTGATGGCATTCTTGGAAGAAGTACTATTGTGATTTGTCGTAATTTCTCAGTGAGATTCGCTAGACTCTAGGAAGACCGACGGATAGGAAAAAATGATCAAAGGAAAAATTAATTTTGTGAAATAAGCGATAACCAAACGGCGATTTCCTCAAAAAAATCGAACTGCCAAGGGAAGGACTGGTGCATGAAATTATAGGCGGAAGCTACAGTGATTACCCATTGGTTCGGAGATGGGGCGGCAGTGGGAGCCCCGAGTCTCTCTTCTTTAAAGTAAAACTATCCGTTCCGTTTAGCTGATGTCTTTGATAGCAGTGGGCCGGGGGAGGAAGTGACTTTTTGGGTTTTTGTTTTTAAATGAGAGGATGGGTGCGTTTATAAATCATCTGAACTTAACGTTCCAGGAAAAAAACGTGTACGACGGGAGAAAATATTACGCTGGGTTCTTGACTTTGGTCGGATATTTTCAATATTCCGTAAATACAGAGTCCCTACACTCGAGGTTTTTTTCGCTTTAACCACCGTGGATACCTACATGAAAATCCGACGTGTACGATTCCGGAAGATACGAATCTGGAAACGTACAGGTCTCCTGGTGTCCGAGGTGTTTTTACGGATATCGAACATTAAACCGCACAGTACAAATATATACAATATCTGTATTCGTTTGTATTAGGTGGTACAGAGGTTACACGATACAATATTATAATGCCTATGTAATAATAAAATACGCGCGTAGGACGATGACGGCGACGGCCGTCGTGCCTAATATTATATACCTAATAAATTTCCACGACGTGAAAGTAAAACCGTACGAAATAGTATCCGAGCGGAGATCTATACGGCGACCGCGACGACGACGACGACGACGACGGAAAATCATTTATCTCGAACGCCCCTGCGCCCAAGGATATCGTCGAGCGGTCCGTTTCGGTATTATAATACTTGTGCATACAGGGTATTTATAACAATATCGTGATGCGATTGATCTCGGATAGTATATCGGATAATAATAATAATAATAATAATATGATAATGAGCCACGTGCATTATAAAATAATATCGCGTTTCAATCAATTAACGTACCTGCACTTATGTATGTATATATATATATATACAATACTTATTAAACGTACCGATTGATTTTTTTTTTTTTTTCAAGTTATCGGGTGCTTTTTTTTTACCTACATCAAAAACGTACCGTATAGTATGCGCATTGCGTATACGATAATATATTAAAATATAAATTGCATAGGCAATGCGTATATATAAAATTATCGTTATTATTGATAGTATAATTTATGTAAATTGAATATTTTTGTTTAAATTACGATAACCCGCCCTATAATAATGCAAAATTGTTGTTAACAATAATTTTTACACGCTGTCATAATAATCTAAAACCTATAATTAGGTATCCTGGAAACGCGTGACGCATATTACGTATATGTAACGAATGAAACGCAATTTTAAAATATTTTGTAGGCGATTAGTGATTAAAAAAACGTATATTATGTTGGGAAATATTAATTAGTTTTCATAAATTATATTTATGAGTATAATATCCTATATAAACTATAAAAAAACAAAATTGAATGTTATTTAAAATATTTCACCTTTTTTTTAGGTTATGTTATTAGTGCCACGAAAAATAAATTGATTTTACAGTGAAGTACAGTCTGTAAATAAATTGTCTCCCAGAAATATTGTCCCGGTTAAAAAACGATATGAAAACCTTTTTTTTTTTATCATTTTCAAACTAGTTTGTTCATTGAGGAGGTAATTTTTTTGATTTTCCATGTAGTTTTCATATTAGTTGAGGGTAAACCAGGAAGAAACGTATAGGAAAAACGGGTACGTTTCATTTCGCTTTTGTATTTTTGTTAGAAAAAGTTGTATAGACATGGAAATTTCACAAGAAGTTTTTTATTAACAATTTTTAAACGTAGTAATTAACGTTCAAAACATTTTGGCGATTTTGAGTTATTTGTGGACATTTGAATTTTCGAGTTTTATTGGTTTTTATTTGGTTTTTTGCTGATGACATTCATTTGGCCGAGTAGAAATGCTTAAAATTTGAACACACAATGTCCACCGCGAGCCGTGCTTGACGTTTTAAAAACGTAGTTTTCTCATTTCATAAGCTTCTTTGAAGAACCGTATTTCGTATTAGCAATGATTTATCGTTTCGCACAGTCATAAATTGTTAAATAACTCTACGTGTCCTACCTCCTAAACTTCTCACCTACAAAACAGTGGCATGCCCGTCGGCAGGAGTACAGTAATCCCTCGTTATTCGCGGAGGTGTAAGGTTCCAACAAAGTTGCGCGGATAACAAAACACCGCGGATAACGAGACCATATTGTATACGATTGTGTATTAATCGTACGTCTGTACCTTATACGGCATTTATCTCTGATGGCGTAGTACACATTCCAAATACTTAACGGTATAACGAAAATCATCTAACCTTATCTGAAGCGAACTGCAGCGTTCGTATAATACCGACAAATTGTATGGATTATTAAATAGAAGGTATTTCCGACTTAACCGCGGTGGAAAAAATCCGCGGATAACGAGGGGGATTACTGAACAAAACTTTTTAAACGGGGATTATTATTATTATTATTGTTTTTTTTTTTTTTTTTATACATACATATCAAACGTGAGTTACGCGATCGTTTCGTGTTGTTATACTATTATTGTATTCATACCGACATCACTGTTTTAACTCGTTTCGTACATTATATTATTAAAATATAATGGAACTTTTCGAATGACAATCAAACGAATTGAAACAATTTTTATATATATTTCGTGAATGCGAAATTCGTCCGTAATAACACACCTAACGGGTCAAAAATGTGGGCGTACAAAGACACCGTTTCTTGCTCGGGTGCATTTTTGCGAGTCGGACGAAGATAGTTGCGAATGTATTGATTTATATTAATATTGATTAATTCCGTTTTAAAAAATTAAATAATAACGAATAAGTAACACTGTTACGAAAAACTACTTTTCTTTTTTGCACTCGAAATTCGTAATAATTAATTTAAGTTAAACAACGCACGAAAAAAAAAAACGCCATCATAACATAATTAAATATAGTATTCTTCTTCGCGTTCAAACGAAAATAAACTGACTGACATTATATATTAATATAATAATATTGTAATGGATAATAATATGCACATCTTCTTCTTCTTAAAAAAAAAAAATAATAATAATAACAAATTAATAGCAGTAAAGTTTATAAATGTCAAATTAACATGGATACTATAGTAATGAAAAAACAACAACCCGTTGACAACTGTGTAACCACCATAGATATTATATTAATATGTAATTTCAGTTGCTGCATGGCGATAATCCGACGATAATGTCGATGGTACACGAAGATGCGTGATTCATAGACACTCTGTTTTAGCTCGTTAATGAATTACCCCCCCCCCCCCCAAAAAAAAAAAAAAAAGAACCTGACCCTATGAATTCCTTACGCCCGAAATACTATGAAACATCAACTTCCGAGAGAATCCTGCAGACGGGTTTTGAGATAATGAAGCGTAAACAAAAAACATTGAAGCTCGTATTATAATATTATATAGGATAACTATTGCAAAATATCTAACAATATTGTTCATTATTACCTTGGTCAAATTTGCGGTTTTCGGATAATACGTTAAATTGAATGTTGTATTGTTTTAGTGGGAACACATAGGTTTCATCCCGTAAAATATAATGTGTACGCGACTTGCGTCCTTATAGATTCCGGACGCAATTCGTGTATGTTAATCAGGGGTTCTTAAACATACTAAACAATAGTAAATAAATGATAAAAAACTAATACAATTCTAATCGGACGAATCAGTTGAAAATTAGGTTATACTTTTTCGATAAGTATTTTACAAATACTAGCCTAATAATAATACCTTGTTATTTTATTTGCGTTTGATTTTGGACTCTGAGCGAAGCGAGAAATGTATTGGTTTTACAAAGATGTTTATTTCTTTTTTTTCTTTCTTTCTTTCTTTCTTCTAGTCTGTGGACACGTTTTTTCCTAGTATGCTTCCTCCAATTTTTACGTATAGCAACTTTTCTGAAAGCTCGAGTTGTTTAGATTGTACTTTGAAGAGAACATTTATCGACGCCATTTTTTTAATAAAAGCACTTAAGTGGGAAAAAATCGTAAGAAAACGTACAATTTCACGATTTTATTATTTTACGAAAATACTGACGACGTTTTCTATCAGAAAAAATATTTTATACGAAAAATTACAAAATACCGTTTTTTGTTGCCTTTTTGATTCACTTTCTTACGATATCATCGCTATAACTTTTGAGCCACTTTTGAGCTTTTAAAGAATTTTAATTTTTGAGAGTTTTTGTTTGCTGTAATTCAGTTATAAATACACGTAGAGACTTGAAACTTGGTAATTATAGTTATATTGGACTTATCTAGACGTGGCAAAATTTCCAAAAATCATCGGACGATTTTTTTTTTTTTTTAATAAGAGTTTTTAAATCAAATTTAAAAGAAAATCGCAAAAAAAAAAATTACGATGATTCAAATTATGTATTACCGAACTGCGTCTTTCGTCGAGCAATGGTTTATCGTTGCTTACAGATATAATAGAAATAATCTTGTGTATTCTTCCAAACTTCTCACCTACAACAGTTGCCGCACCCGTCCCCAGTATCAGCTTTTTTGTGATTTTGTATCAGTACTCAATATTGATAAATAATAATACGGTTTATTACTTTACATTGACATTATTATTCAGTCGATTGGTCCGTTTAAATTTTATTCAATTATTGTTTATACTTATATTTACATATAGATATTATATTTTTTTTTAACTTCCAGACATTTTTTCCTCAAAAATCTCGGCATAACTCCATTTTATACTATGTTTGTACGTTTCACCAGTTTTGCCGTCCCCGTACAATGGGAAAAAGATAAAATGCGTATAGACAGTTAAAGTTCATATTTGTACTTGATAATAAATTATGCCTAACTGAAAACGGTTTTTAAAAAAGTTCGGTTAAACGTGATTTTTACGTGCAGATTTTCATTAAAATGTGAACTTGAAACGCTGATAAAAAAAAACTACTACATAACGGTCAAAATTTTCTTTTATTTACTATCACAGAGTAAAACTTTTAATGAACCTCGTGTAAAAATGTTCAAATATTTCGGCTCGGCCAGAACATATATTTTAACTAAATAAAAAACTAATTAAAAACTAAATTCGAAAATTTAATATGTTTACAAATAGTTTAACAAAGTGCCAGAATATTTCGAATATTTTGCTGCGTTTAAAAAATACTTGTTTAAGCATTCGGAAAAATCGTCTGATCCGAAAGATTATTTTTTAATCTAATCGAAAAAAAAAACAAAAAACTGTTATATCGATAATAAACGATTTTCTCGTTTTTTTCTTCGATTATTAAGCAAATTACCAGCAAAATAATAATATAAAAAAAAAAAAAAAAAAACATGACCACTCCAATGCACCGACCACTGAAAATCGTCTTTCAGAAAAGATTTTATACTCTTGGAAATCGGTACAAGATATCTGGTATTGTAGAAAAGCTCATAATTCGAATACAATGAAACTTTATTCTACTGTAAACCGTAGTGTTATGCGGTCGTCTAGATTGCATGTCTTTCAGACGATTTTATCAAAACAGTTGGTAACTGCACTGCGGCAGGTCCTGTCTATTCACCAGGAAAAAATCGTTCGGCCGGGAGGGATGAAGCCCACGCGTTTTGTCAATCGAATTATTTCGCGTGTTATCCAACGGCGGCGGTGGCGGCGTCTAAAAAATAAATAAAACCGTAAGAAAAACGATTACCTATTTTCTGAGATCAGACACGACGCTCGTCGCGCCACCGCCGACGTTGTTCATTAGACAATCCGGTCTATTTAACGTGCATGCACGTTTAATACGTTTGTCTCGCATGACCGCCGAAGATATTACTGCGGGGATTGATTGGAAAAAATATAAAAAAAAAAATAATAATAAATAATAACAATTTGTATTACAAATCGAATCGTATCAAAAAATACCTACAAAAGTACCCACGATCCATATTATACATGTTATCCCATACGAGTAAACACTGTATATAATTTATTATTTTTTTTTTTTCTCTCTCCACGATCAGGCGTGAACGGTATTTTTTATTCCTATAATGTTACACTATGTACCTGCCTACTGGTGCGCCTATTTTTAAACGCCGCACAATGCACTTACGCGTACATACGGCGTGTAAAACGAACCGGAATATGTATTTATTATTATTATTATTATCATTATCGTTATTATTATTGTTATTATTTCGTGGGTGATTTATTCGAAACGACGATAGTTCGACGAGTGGTGATAAGTACCCGCCCGCCTATAATATAATAGGCACCGCGGTATAAGTACTGTTACATTTTTTTTTTTGTTCCCCTCGTAACCGTGCTCCGGTAACGGGATATTATCGCTTTATCACAATGCCGTAGTGGCTCAACACTCGAGCTTATAATAATAAAAATCAGCCTATCCATATATATATATATACATAAAAAAAAAAAAAAAAAAAAAAAAAAAATACGTGAATAATGATTTCCGCGCGTTTTGAAAATACATTTTTTAACCGGTCGTTTCTTCGGGTTAAGTATTATAGTTTTTTTTTTTTTTCCAAAGCGAATGTTATTGAAGTCGTACATTTACGCACGTGACTTCGAAAGATGACGAAAATAACACTTATCAAAGTCCTGTATCAATAATAATATGTAATCGGTAGGACGGTAAAGGAGTTTGGAACCGGTTTCCGGTTACGATTAAAATGTACAGAAGTCGTACCACGAGTCATAATATATAACGGGCAATATAATCAAATTTTATAAGCTTTACTTTTTTTTTTTTTATTGGCGTACATTCGCGATTTTAACGTTCACTCACTTCAAATTTTTAACCAACAAAAAACATATTCACAAAGCTAGAAATAGTTCAAAAATCGCCAGAATTATTTGAATACTTCACTATGTCTAGAAAGAGTTCGTGTACCTATTCTATGAAAATTTTAGGTTCCTATGAATGAATCAAAAAAATTAAAAACATTAGAAAAAATTATATTTCTGTTGTTTCCTAATTATCAAGAAAACAACAAGGAAAATAAAAAAAAAATATTCTCTTCAATAATGCGCCAACTCCACCAAAAATTTGGTACGAAATATCTCTCCCGAGTCGATAATCGAATCAAGATTTCTGGACGAAAAGTCATATATAGACAGACGAAAAAAAAACAAATAATTATAATAATAATACAAAATATAAAAATAATTTTTATCAACTTTTGATGTCATCGACCTCACTGTCAATGTGCATATTTTACCCACATTACAAATGTATAAAAATCAACCTAATATAACAAACATAAATTTAAAAGGAAAAAAAAATACTGTTAAAATATGACACATTTTTTTCGCACCGAAACTAAATAGGTGGTACTTGACAAAAAATTAATATTCCAAGTTGATAATCAGACAATCATTTTGTTGCACTTAACATTTGCTTAATGCATTATTAGCACATCAAGTTAAATAGGTTTGAATTTCTCAAATTTCAGAAAATAAATGTCAACACTTGTGCTTATTGTAACTATTGTTTTACGATTTGTACAACACGTAAATAAAAAGCAAACAAACGAAAAAATCCTTTAAAATCATTATTCGGTTTATTCGGACTAGCCCGTCTCGCAACCTATTCTCCAGCTATGTCCGTGGTCAAAATGTTCGGTTCACCACTCGAAGCGTCAACGTACTTGTTTACTACGACTTCCATTCGTTTACTCTCTTCTCGGCCTTCCCAAAGGGTCTTTTACCTTTCGCGGTCTGTCTCGGCGCTACCCGCATCGGTGCGTTCTGGCCTTTTCGTGCGGGCGTACCTAGCTCGTTTCAGCGTCTTACTTTCACGACCGTCCCTAAAGTATTATTTTTTTTGTAACCCGAGCGGTATAACGCAATATAATGTTATCACTATTGTCGGTCTGAGGATCCGCCGCACGAGTTGCCTAACGTACAGCATACGATAAAAAGTATACTGAAAATACTGATATTATAATTGAAATTGAAACCCACGTACGTATCGTTAGTAGAAGAGGTACGAACGTACCACCGAATTTCGCACGCACTAAAAATGATTCGTTTTTCATTTTTTTCTCCCGAAATTATAATATAATGCTGATGTGTAATTGGAGATTCGCCGAGTTACCGACATAATATTATAATATAAATATGATTGTTACGTTATGGAATGTAGAATGAAAAAAAAAAAACTAATCGAACAACGATGATGTTAAACGTATGATAAAGAAATGCATTATTATCTTCGAATTCTAAAAAAAAAAAAAAAAAAACACTAACGATGATACCGAGAGCGCGGTTACAGCATTATAATCGCAGTTTTATTCCCACGGTCACACTCGTCCAACGCGTTTATAATAAGTATGAATTATTTGAGCATAATATTTCTCCGACACTATTGTGAACGACGCATCGTGTACAAAACCGTGAATGGCAACGACATTTAACGACACAAACAGCACCGTAGTTGTACAGTACGCAATAATCGAAGGACGAAAATGTATTTAAATTGAATCTGCATACCGAGTGTACCGAGATATTATTATTATTATTATGTGTTTTAGATTCTGAGCGGGGCGAGGAATGTATTGGTTTTACGACGGTGAGTGCCATTTTGTTTATTCTGCCTTCGATAAACTCTTATACCGGAAATCTTTCTCCGAAAAAAAAAAAAAAAAAATTTTTTTTTACGTTCCGGGATTTATGACAGGCCGTAGTTTTTCGAGTGGTTTTCATAATATTTTGGAAAAACGTTGGAAAACCGGGAAAGTTTACGACATTAACGATTTCATTATCTTCGATTTATTAATTTCATTGAAATTCGAATAAAAATAATCGTAGGAAGCTAAAAATTTTACAAAATACTTATATTACCTTTTTCTAGAAATGGTACAGTCTTCAAAACATTCTAACGACTTTTGAGCTATTAATAAGTATTTGACATTTCATTTATCCGGTTATAATTGTGTGATCGAATAGAAATGCTTCAATATTCAATACGTAGTTTATTATAAATTTAACTTGCTGGTAAAAAAAAAAAACGTAAAATCGATCGAAATATAATACAATTTTTTTTTTTTATAAGCATTTTAATATCAAATGAGATAAAAAAAAAATATATATTGAATTTCAAAACATGTATAACGTCATTTCGCTCAGAATCGTGTTTAATTATCAATAACTTATCGTTGCGTACAGATAAAAATAAATAAATTTGTATTCTTCATTTTCAACTTTCCACCTGCAACAGTGACCTATCCATTTCTTAGTATCAGCCCTTGTATTACTTTGTTTGTTGTTCCTCCACGATTTTTTAACTGCGTAGAGTGCGCGTAAAATTCAGTGGCGTATGATGTTTAAAAACAATATATTTTTTTGTCCGTTTTCAAATATCGATGAGGTCAAAGGTATTTTATATTCAAAATGTAATTTTTTGTATCAATGCATTTAGTTTCAGTGCCGTAAAATCGACGAATTTTATTCTTTAACGCAGAGTTCAGCAGATTGAATGATTTTTCACATATCTTCAGTGACTGCAGTTTTTGCGATTTTTGACGGGGTCATGGTGACCGAATGAATGCATTCGAGTTTGTTTAAATTACGAGCTAAAATATCGGACACCTATAAAGTTACTGTAGGTAGAGAGGGTGGTATCACTAGGATTATGTTTAAGGGATCTGTTTTTACATTGTGTTCCAATGTAACTGTGCAACTTTATTGTGAGTTTATGGCAATAACACAAAATGGATACTTAATAATTATCAATGCGTAACTCAACACGTCTTGTAAAAATCTGATGCACGGCCGCATATACGTATTAAAATTTATATTTTTGGCGTAAATATGGCCAAAGGTGGAGGAAGTGTTTGAACACCAAAACACCCCTTCTCAACGTCACTGAGTATATAGAGTTTATAGGCTGAGTACGGAGCTGATTTACGATTTAAAAACGTGGATTTTCATATTTTGGCGGCAATGCGCCATCTGTTGATGTCGACGAACGGAAATAACGAAGAACTATATTGATTTGTCTTGATATAGAAAATACGGCCTTAATGAGATCCGAGAAGTTCAGTCTCGTGTTTTCGTACCTATTATAATATTACGTATAGACACGGGATTTTTAAAATCGTATTAGTAATTATTTAAAAAGTATCTATCCGTACGATATAATATAAAATAATCTTTTACAAATTGAAAAAATACATTTAAGCGCCTAATTTACTGACCCCGCGCGTGGCCAATACAAACAGACACGTACGTGAAATGAATTATTAATTAGGTACCCGAGTAATGTATTTAAAAAAAACAAAACAGCCGCCGGTGTCCCTTTTAAAAAAAAACCATCCTCCTTTAAAATCTCCTAGAAAACCTCCGGTACAAAAGGCGTGTCTACTGCGACGCGTGTATACTAAAGCCAAACAAATTGATGCATTTTGTACGTGTGCTTATAAATCAGGCGACACGGTAATCATGTGATTTTTGTCCGACGAAAACGTCAACAGATGAAAACGTTTCCGACAATAGGGTTATTACTGCAACGATGGAATTATTGCGAAATACTTTTTTCAACGAATTCGAATAGAATATATTTTTTAATTGAATTTTTTTTTTCTTAAGACGCTTGGAATATCGCAAATTATTATTGTAATACGCGATAAGATCGATAATAATATAGAAAAATAAAAAAAAATGTTTACTATTACACTTTGATGTATTTGTATTTCGAAGAAAATCACTGTAGATTTATAAAGACAACAGCGAACGTTTCAACGACAATTTTATGTGGCGTTTAGAATTCGATTTGCTGTCGGAACACCCAACAATTTTATCCGGAACAGCGTGTTCAGTTACGATTAATTGTGTAACGTGTAAAATTATATGCTGTTATTTTAGCAGGGAATTTAGGAAGAATGTAGAGTAAGTTGATTTATATCTGCACGCGTAAACGATAAAACATTGGAAATGAAAAACGACTCTGCGCAGATCACCATTATCAGTCGTATTTTTCGTATTAAAAAAAAAATTATCAAAAACAAAAAAAAAAATAGCCAGTTTGTCAATTTTAACTACAAGGGAAATTAAAAAATGACTTCATCGTTGCACGGACTATATTAAAAACTCTACAAGATTCCCGTAATATTTTGATTGAAGTGAGATTCCTGGAGTAAAAAAGTTCTTTTACAGACACCAAACAAATAAAAAACGCGCATCCGCAGTAAAACCTATCCGTTCTTCGATTCAATCAATGTCTCAAAAAAGCCATAGGTCATAACTTCACAGTTAACTTTCAACATTTTAACTCGTTAATGTCATCGACACTGATAAGATTATCGTGGTATTTATTAATTACGATTAACTTTTCAAAGTCCTTAAAAACGTTTTGAAAAATAAAAAAACCACGATAATTGGATCCATTATACGGAATTGACGAAAATTTACCGTATACGAAACAGAGACAATTAATACAATATGACAGTACACGCTTCGGTAGGCGGATTGAAGATTTGTACGGATGGGGGTGGAAACCCCGTTTGAAAACGAATATTTCTTTGTAATAATCGTAAATGGTTTTTTTCGTTGTGGTTTTTTTTTTTTTTATCGTAAGTAAAATCCAATGTTCTCGTGTATAAAATACTGCGGTAAGCCGCCGAAACAGCCGAAATATGCAATTCCCGTAAAATTATTCGGATATCTCGGTATTTTGTTTTTTGCTAGGTTCTAAAATAAAGTAGCTACCCATACATTTTTTTACGCTATTACTTATATACTTGGAAGTTTAAACGGCGTTTTCGTGAATACTGCTATACTAATACTAATACCGTAACGATATTACACAAAATACCTGCTTACTTACATCGCGCACATTATACTGCGTATTACCGCGACTTTGGGGAATAGTAATTTTGTCCGTATTGTTTTTTAGTGGGTAGGTGTTTTTTTTTTTTTTTTTTTACGAGTTAAATTAATTGAAAAACGAACATTATTTAAAACGCGATGCGGTTGCATAATATTCGATTATTAAACTTTATTTAGAAACGTTTGTTCGATAAACATTTTGTTGGTTTTTTTTTTTTTAGAAAGTTATAATAAAACGTCCATATATTAATAGTTATTTAGGTGGTTTTTTTTTTTTAATGTTTTTAAGACGCCGCCGAAGTATAATAACACCGCACTTTGTGCTGCAGCGGCGCGACGGGTGTAATAATACAAATGGAACGGCTTTTTTCGTTTTTTTTTTTTTTTAAATAATGTCATTAGATACTGTACACGAGGGAATAGTTATGGGAAAACGTGGGCACCGAAAACGACGTCCGGGACTCCGAAAATTACGCAACACGTTCACGCCGAATTTCGACCGTTCGGTTTTTCGGCTGTTCCATTAACGGACAAATTCAAAATGCATTTTACATATTACGCTGCACAGCGTGATTGTCAGCGGCGGCGAATCCCACGCGCGGCACCCTCCGCACAGTTTCGGTACGGTACCGACGGATACGAATTATCGGTAAACGCATGTAGACGTTTTGAACCGTATTGAAGCGTGCGGTTAAACGGCGAAACATCTCCACGAAACTATAAACGGCCGATTTCGACCGAAAAGGCTATTTTCGCGCGCCCGTGAATAAAATATTTCAACAGCCGCGGCTCGACGCGAGCAGCGAAAACTATTACTGAACTACGCGTCAGATTTTTCGCAAAAATGAATCTGCTTTTTTTCCGCATCCGACTCTCGGCGTCACGCCGAATAAAAACGCGCGTCACGGGTGGGTTGGCGGTTGGGGGGGAGGGAGAAAGGGATTGAAAAATACGGAATTCGCTTACCCTCCGACCGGCGTCTGACGCGTGATGTCGGTGCGCGGGTCGGCGTTGTTGATGGCCGGCGGTTGTGCGGCCGCCAGTACGGCCGCGGCCAGTACGCAGCACGCTCCGGCCACGAGTCGACCGGCCGGCGTTCGCATCGTTCCCGCCGCGTTCCTCCGCTGTTCCGTCGCGCTCCCTGGTCCCGCCGATGTCCTCGGGGGGGAGAGTTGTGCGTGGCGAAATGTCGCGCGACGACTCCCGGGGTTGTTTCGCGTGTTTTCTCCCCGATCACCGGCGCTCGGCGGCCCGCGGCTGACGGTCGTCGACGGTCCGCGTCGTCATCGTCTTGCGTGATCGGTGTCTCGGGGTGTGGGGGGGTCGTGAGCCGCTGAAAATCGCTAAACAGTATCGACGATTACGAAAAAAAAAAAAAAAAAAAAAAAAAAATGAAAAAAAATTCGAAAACCGCGAACGGGCCGGAGAGACGGATAACCGACGGGTCTATACCGGAGAGAAAAACACCGGAAAAGCCGCGTTCGCGAGAGGGTGTGTGTGTGTGTGTGTGTGTGTGTGTGTGTGTATGGGGGCAATTCGATATCGTACCGACCGCGACTGTAGACTGCGTGCGGAACAACAGAATATCGCGCGGACGTAAAGAAACGAAAATATTCCAATATTAAACTGTTACGTTTATATTAATCGCGAGGACGGTACGCGCGTGTCAGATGATGCTGTCGAGCACAGCCGATCGGACCGACTGAACGCGGCCGGTCTCCCGACGCCGATACGGACCGGCGAAACGTGTACGCGCGCGAGACGATAATAATAATTATTATTATAATAGCCGATGTTACGAGTTTTATCCCACCCGGTATATGGTAACGAGACCGCAGCCGGTTCGCTGTGCGTTATCACAGCCGCCGCCGCCGCCGCCGACGACGCCACGTTCTATATTATTACAATATTACGTTTTTTTTTTTTTTCTGTTATTTTAACGCGTCGTCGTCGCGCGGTACATACGCGATGATATTATTTTAATAATGCACGCGTGATATATTACCCCGGACGTGTTAACGTGTACGAAATTTTAACACTATTCGTTACGATATTTTATTTATAGTACGACACGTCATCGTCGCCTCCGACGGAGCCGCCGCCGTTCGGACCGTCGCACGTGCGTTCCGGCGGGTGTCCCGGACGACGCGGCGGCGGCGGCGGCGGGTTCGTTAAAAAAAAAAAAATGAATACGGGCCCGGGTCGAACGTCCCGGCGGGGCGCGACGTCGAAATCCCGCGGACAACCGGGAAAGTGTAGACGGTTTGGTCGCGATTTATTCACGATTCTCAATTTTTGCTACGTCGTCCCCTCCCGTTCGTCGAAATTTCTCGGGCGCTTCTGGGGCGACGTTTCCGTCTTACGAGGGTTGTCCGCCGTTTTTATTTTATTCGTTCTCTTGTGCCTCTAGTCGAACATCACAATCGATAGATTACTGTCGGCACACAACACTAACATCAGTCGTATTATTCTGGGTACACGCGCGGCGTCGTACACCTACACCCGCGTTAACGGAAGAGTTTACTACGTTTATGGGGTGTCCGGACCTGAAAACCCCCGCCCTTTTGGTACGCCCCCGTCGCGCGCCGAATGTCGAATATTCCGGACTTTCGAATAATTAAAATGCCTACGCGTCGACACAAAGGATAATATGTTACGGCCACGTACGAACCGAGTCCCGTGGCGACAACCCATTCCGAATCGCGCCCCGGCTATTGGTTTGGATCCTACCGACCGCGTCCCGTATGTAATGTTATAAGAGCTAAACATGATTTCCAAACGGAATCGACGTTACTTCAGAACTATACAGTTAGATAGAATAGAAGGACCAACCGACAAAATGCATCGCATTTTCAAAATCGGCAAAAGCACTTTTTGTAGAAAATATGACAATGGCGCTTTGTTCAGGCACTTTCAGACTAAATGTATACAGTTGCCAATCGACATTCGTATCCACGAATGACAAATAAATTGCTTTTTGTTTCGCTCACCGTAATCAATGTTAAAACGTAATCGTTTATACCCGATCGATAATAATAGTGCAATAACCAACAATCGCATAATGTTTATAGACATTTTGGATATCGCAGGTGGCCCGGACGCAATTCGGATGTGCTCAAGAAAAACCCGGAACGCGTTCAGTATTATACACACACGCATTTACTCGGGACGCAACTGTAGTGCGCATTGGATAACATTATCTGCCAGATCCTGTCGGGCAACGGCTATTTTTTTTTTCAGACTTACCATAGAGCACATACACGTGTTTACACATTACGTTAGGGTGACCAGACTTGAAAAAATAAAAAACAGGACAAAATTATTTCAGTGATACATTCAAAATAATTTATTAATCATTAAAATTTATTAAAGTTTTCATTTGTTATGTACAATTTATTGATATTAATTTAGAATTTTATTGTCTTTAAAGAGCCATTTGTACATTTTAAGATTATTTTTTAAAATTAATTTATTTGTACGGGTTTTGATGACGACGCCATAACATGCAATCTTGCTAGTATATTTGTTCGTTTTAATTGTGTCGCACTCGATTATGATGGCAATGAATATTAATAGTGAGTATTATTATTCCGTCACAATTGGTAGTCTCGTACCTCAAACAAAGCCATGGGATCTCCGAGGACACGTGCGCGTGTAATTCACCCAGTTATATCCGTCCAGCGTAACTTCCTGAATACAAATCGCGTCCGATTTTAATACATTTTCGTGGCAGACGAAATTATTTAGTTAACAGCCGGTCGGTTGCAGGGGATAATTCAGCGGTGGCGTGGCGAAGATTTATTTAAGAGACAATTGCATTCGATATTTCCGGTGGGAAGTGAGGGACTGGTCGCGAAATGAGACGTCGGCGGACCGAGAGGATTTTTACTATCAGATTCAACGTAAATCGGTCGGCGAAATGGAAGGCAACGGTACGGAAACGAACCAAAAAAATCCAGATATGTTTTCGCAACTGACCAGCCGACAATAATTTGGCTATACGCCATTATTAATAAATATATATTAGTCTCATAATATGATCTCTGATCTGTAGTTTTCGCATCATTTAAATAAATAAATAAAATTAATATAAATAGTATACGGTTTGGTAAAATTAAGTCGTTTATATTTTATACAGTTCCGTCATCGTGGCGTGATAGTTATCTAAAACATAGATCGCAGCAACAGGTGTGCTATTGAAATCGACGTAATAAAGTATGTATGCAGCACATTGCGTGTCCCTCAAAAAAGCATCGAAATCGCCTCTGTTGTTTGCTGTTTATGTTGTAAAATGTTTTAGCACGTGAAAGGCGCTCCTTTTTTTTTTTTTTTACTGTTGAACGATGACCTCAAGTTTTATTACATAGTATGCGTGTTTTTCTCGTAAATAATTAAAAAAAAAAAAAAAAATGTCCGTCTTAGCTGTTTATTAGCTCTAATTATATTACCCGCTATTATATTTTATACAAGCTGTTCCGCCCGTCATTGTCCGTGTGCCAAGCCAATGTGTAATAAAAACAATTTCCCCCTGGATTCTGTGCTTAAATCCCCGTCAATATCACTGCAGTTATCCGTGGTTGCTCTTAAATGTTTAAAAATCCCTCTTTTTTAATTTTCATTTCAAACTTATGCGAATTCACGAATTAGTTATATGGTTGCTAAGTAAAGAAAAATACATATAAATTATTATTTGAAATTAACCCAAACTACCGAAGGTTAGGTATATTACTTGTACTGGCCAGCTTGAATATTTCAATAGTTTAAAAACTTCTCCGGACAATGCGGACTATTTTGCGAAAAATCGCGTAAAAAATTGTTCTCATCATTTCGAAGGCAACACGTGATTTTTATTTTTATGTACAATAGGTCAGGTTTTTAACGTATTTCACTTTTAAAAATCCGAACGGTACGTACATTTCATAATAAAGTATTGTTGCCGGACAACGTACAGAATAATCAATAAGCGTTCGCGTTTTACGAAAAATGACCGAAAACTCAGTACTCACTCGTGTGGAAATTATCGGCCAAAAAACACGACCTTTTACCGCACAAAAGAGAATTTCGCACGTCGTAAACATAATTTACAGGTAAAACACATTTCATAATATCGTACCTACAAACTTATTTGATTAACGAATACTGCAAATATAAAATACGTATAAAATATATAATTTTTTTTTTTCAAAGTCGAGTACCTATCGTTACAATTATAATTTTGAAAACATATGAATACTGTGCGCGATCGATCCGATTTTCGTTTTTCTTCTAATATTCTTCCTTTTTAGGTAAAACTGCAAACACCGAATTTACCGTCAAATAAATAAATTTAGAGGTAGCTTCAATAATCCTGCAATATTATGTATAAGCATATTCGTTGTGACTTAAATCCGGATAATCCGAAAATCCGAGTTTCTGATTTTAGACAACATAATTTCGTATTTCAAGATATGAAAATGATAATTTCTGGTTGCAAGATGTATAGTTATGATTGTAGTTTATGAATTATATGAGAAATGCCTAAAATAATCCGAAATCCCGATTTTGAATACATTTTCGGATTTCTCCGCTAACGGGTATAGAGATTTATAATTAATGCTCGATTTTATAACCACCGAATCGCGTGTACACAAAACCGTAATAATTAAGCGTAAAATCAAATACGAAATAAATTTAAATATGATTGAATTTTTAAACTCTTCTATATATTACTAATTTATTACTATTCTCTCGCTATATTCATGATATTGTGTTTGTAAAATGTCACCGGTAAATTTAGATAGATATCGAGTCGAATAATTATACTTAATATATTATAATCAATTTTATCTGTTAAATAAAATTAAGATGCATAAAAAAAAAACGTAGAGGTATCTATTATCGCTTCCGTAAATTATGTATATTTTAGGCGTAAAGATTACGTAAAATTAATAAGACTCGATGTGTTTAGGTCTTTTGATGTACTCACTAATATAAATTAGAATGAGAAAAACAACGGGAATAAAAAACACATAATTTCCATTAAATCGGGTTACGCAGATTAAAAAGTCAAGAAAAAAAAACAATTCCTGGGAAGGCACCTAGTGATTTTCTGTAGGGAAATCGTTTTACAAAACTTAATGAATTCAATCCTTTTTAGAGAAAATTAAAATTAAATGAACACATTTTTAGATTTTCAATTCGTTTATGTAATTGTAAAACTTTGTAATTTATTAAAAACTGGGAATATTATACGTTCTAATGAAATTTCGTTTTTAATTTAAAAAGAGATTACAACACGCACCTGGGTCTGCAACCTATAAGGTTCAATACGAAAAGTATAATACGTAATATTACGACGTGTATAATTGCTTTACAACTAAAATTTATTTTAATTAACTTAAAACTTAATTTTAATAATATATTTTTAAAATATTATAATCATACAAAAAATATGTACGATTTGATTGCATGATGAGATTTTATAATTAAAAAAAAAAAGAAAAAAAAACAAGATGCATACTTCACACCATCTGTTTGTCATTGTGTTTTATGTGGGAAGTGGCGATAGAGTGATATATCATACGATAAATGCAATGATTATCACGAATTAAGTTTACATTATCGGTTGCCTTTTTATTCTTTAAAATAGCAAAGGTAAAGCGGAAATCAACAAAAATAATACAAACCGTTATAAATATTATAATGTTGTTAGTTTTATTTTTTTCAAATTT